AGACTCACTTCTTTACTTCCCAAGTCAGTTTCATATTATAATTTCTGTAATATTTTTAATCTTAATGCAATCGTATTCTCTTGTCTCTCAAAGCTCAATTGTTATAAAAGTTATAGACATAAATGTCTAGTATTCTACTTGTATTGGTTTTAACTAGTTTCAAATTAGTTTTCACATTTGTTGTGTGTTTAAAGATTCTTTTCTTTTCAAAAATTGTCGCATTATATACGTTAGTAAGCTTTTAGTAAAGAAAATTTGTGTCTTAATCCAATAAAAAATATTGCCTTAAGAATTAAATAAATTCATTCTAATCAAATATCGGTAGAAAAGCATTTTCTAACACATGGAATCAGACTTGTGTTAATGAAGAAATAGTATAACAGATATAACTTTTTCAAGATAATAATAAATTTATAAGAGTGTATTATATCGTGACAGAGCGACGAATAAAACTTATATATATATAGTATATAAAAAAGAGAAAACGTAAATTTTTTATTGCGAGCATTGCGTTGTTGTTCCTTTTGTTGTTTGCGTAAACCGGCCCCCAAGGAATACGCGAAAGTTGGCAGCAGCGTTGGCGTTGCCAGACAGCGAGAACTGGGTGTGAGCTCAGGAGGTTTCGTTTCGCGGGGGCAGAGGTTGGGGTGGGGTTGGATGGGGGCATTTGTTGGCAGCTTCAAGTGTATTACATTAAGTAAGAAAAATTATGATTTCAACTGGATGGCAGGCACAACGCAAGCAACAAGACAACAACAAATGACAGGCCGTGAAAACAGCACCAACAGCAACAACAGCAACAGCCACTACAAGTCACTGAGGGAGGTGGTAGAAAGCAAGGATGCTACAGCAGGAGCAGCATTACTGTTGTTGTTTTTGTTGTTGCTGCCGCTCTTGCCTAACTGTCAAAATCGTGTAATTTAATAAAGTTCGCTGCGGGATATTGTTTGTTTGTCCAAGTGTATACGAATGTGTTTGTTTGTGTGTGTGAGCGCTAGTATCTTCTTGTATATTCCTCCTCTTTATTTTTGCCACTTTTCAACACGGCTCTGGCAGCTGCTGCGCCTCTGGCTGGCAGGGCGGGCGCCTTCAAGTATGCAACACAAACAACATTTCTGCAATACCCAGTCGACGAGTCTTGTCTGTCTTTATTGTGGCGGCTTTACAGTATCATACGATACACATTCCGTGTTTGCTTACTTGTGTGTATCTCCAAAAGCCACGGCGAAGTTTTACGTAAACACATAAAAAAGTTATACATTTTTTTTGGCAGACTTGCATAGCAAATGGGGGAAAAATGTGACAGGGAATTTTATAATATGATTGTGAATAGTGTGCTGCAATTAAATATTAAGCGGGAAAACACACACACACTCTCTCTCTCTCTTTGTTTGGTTTGCTAAGGGTAGACATTGACATCTCTCTTTGAATAGGGACGGTTAGTGGGCTTGTCAAGTCCTTCATATATCAATTTTGCCGTTGAAGGTGAAAAAGGTGGTGAAGGTATCCTTCCCACTTTACAGAAGTTGTGTTGTGTGGTCGCCCACACCATGTTTATGAGCAGACCTATAAGTTATATCAACCAAATAGAATACATACTTCTAAAACATCATAGGAAAAGCGAAGTTGAGGCAATGCAGCATGTGCGTTATTTATGTTTGTAGAAACATTTACATTTTAGGTTTACTCGTATGAACAGAAAGTTTTGGTAATAAATTAAGTAAGCTTGTGAATCGAAATAAGATGTTATTTATACCGCGGAAAGCAAATCAAAAATACTCACAGTATAGTTTAACACTTAGATATGACTCTTTTTAATTATCCTTTTAATTATATTCTTCCTTTCTAGGACAAATGCCAATATAACATCTTTTAATACATTCTTAATATTTTGCAATTACTAATGAGACACAATCAAATATTGTCAACATTTTTTGTTGGCAACTCCAATTAATATTGTTTTTGTAGTTATATTTTTTATTTTGGCGCCCAAGCAGGGGCCCTCATCTCCAACACAGCTACGCACACACAAAGCGAACTAAAACCTTCATTATGACATCCCGCCATAGACACTATTAACTCCGTATTTGTATTCGAAAACATTTTTTAAAAAACATTATTCCTGTTCTTTACGAACACTTTTTAAAAGAATCACTCATTAGTTAATATGTAGAACTTATTTAATAAGTGTAACTTTTCCAATACTGGGAGTTACGAGTATTGCCGCTTTCAACTACATACTCAACTATGCAGTTACTCTCGATATCCGCCCACCTGCCCTTATGAGGCAACAGCTTATTATGGCTCATAAGATGACGTTAACTCAATATCGCTTGGTAGGATATCAGTCTTCATTTATTCTCATCTTTTAGTTCACACTGCTTACTTTTGCGTCACACAACTGCAAGAAGTTTCTTGGTTGGCTTTTTTTTGTTTGAAGCAAGCGACAATTCTATGTTATTTTATTAAGCAAAGAAGAAATATAAAAGTAAACAGTTGACTGCAAACATACATACATACATGCGTTGCTCAGCTGCCGCCCCACTCTGTCTGCCACACCCCCACACACACATTTGCCGCGTCACATGAACGCCCCATTATTTACTTAACGTAAGTTAAACATTTGCCTCCAACCATCGCAAAGTGTTGGCAATACATGCTATTTTTGGGGGAGGATTGGAGGCTATACCATATAGAAATACTAAAAGTAGTTGCCAAAAAAAAAACAAAGTAAAACAAGGAAAATGGAAACACCCCAAACTGCCAGCAATGGCCGTTGCTTGGCTTACCTGCCAGCCAGTCAGCAAGCTTCAAAAATGTTGAACCAAGTCAAAAAGCTGTCGTCGACGCTAAGCGGGCTCCTGTCCCCACTGCCCCCCACTTTGCGTGCCAGTCCCATTGCCTCGGCTGCCACCCCCCATTGGTAAAGCAAACAAAGAGCCATGAAATATGCAGCAGGCAGAGGCAACGCAGGCAGTTCAGGCAATGGCGAAAAAATGATTTATGTTGGCGCTATGAAAAACAGCCAGAAGTAGCAGCAACAACAACAACAGAAATAAAATCAACTGATTTCCCGACTTCAGAATGTGCCTTGAGTTTGTTTATTTATTTGTTTGGCTTTCTGCTGCGTTATGTGATTTTTTATTTATTTTTTCTCTAGCAATGAAAAATGCACAAATTGCGCTCGGAAGACAACAAAAGCTCCATTCCGGTCGAAGGGATCGAAAATGAAGTCTCAAAAGAGTCTAAGAGAGCACAAGCCGGGGCCCTTGTCTGGCGCTACTTCAAGTGGAAGCCACAAATTTTCGAACTTGTTATCCTGCGGGAATATCACAGCAATTAAGGTTGGCTCATGCCCAAAGAAATCTCAATTTCAGCTCCAGAATATGTTTTTTCTATCGCATTGATAAAAACAAGAAGGATTCGATACGAAGCGATCTAACATAGGCTGCTCTAAAAATTTTCATATTGTGCCTACAGACTTTAGAAATCAAATATACACAAGATGTGACAGTAAGAAAAATAAAAATAAATTCCTATGCATTTGGACAAATATTGCTTGAAAAATGTCGGAGAAAGGAGAAAAATTGTCGCAAAAAAAAGCCCACACCAACGATGAAGGGAAACATTCCAATTCTCCAAAATTAAGTCCGAAGCTTCGGCGAAAAAAGAAGAAGGACAACACTCCCGTAGTGGTTCCCGTTACTCCAATTGTGAAACACTCTGTGGAACGTTTTATAAAAATTACAAAATATACAAATGTTCCATCTCAGCGAAGTGTGGGTATTACCGCTGACGCCGAAGCCGAAACTCTACCATGTCGCCGTAACGTAATTCCCGCTCCTCCTATCATCATGCTTGACGAAAATTATCCAACATCATGGAAGCAACATATGAAGCAAGCCTTCATAGACCAATTCAGGCCACGCAATATTAAAAAATAAATTGTCCGTTGTTACCACAATAGAGGTTTGAAATAAAGTTTTTGGCAGACTTTCGCCGAACTAGTTTGAAAACCCAAACAGGCAGTTATTATAAATGGGAGAGAGAGAGACTAATATGAAGATTACGCTGGAAATATAAATAGATATATATATAGTCTATTATATGAGAGGTTAATTTATTTACATTTTTTCATCATCGTCTGTTGGACGATGGGTTTTTGGTAGGCGGTCCTTTTTTTGATAACTACGACTTCTTTGTCCACCTCAGAAAGGAAGTGTTCGTAGTTTGAGTTTGAATATTGATTTATTGGTACATGGGTACAAAGTCTTCTTATATACATATGAACTTGAGATTAAAGAGCTAAGCAAATATATGATAAAACGTCAAATAAATTTACGCATGAAAGAGTAGTTTATAAAAAACCAACGGACTTGCAGAGCTTTATGGCAATATCCATTCAAAAGATGTTGTTCGGTTGAAGTTCCAACCAAATATATTTCCCCAACCCCTAAAATAAAGGACACTTAAGCTCGGACATGAGCATCCTTACTTAGACTGACAGTTCCTTATCATACAGATAGTATGTAAACGAGTGGTGGTTTCGTAATTGATAAATAATTGCATCATCGTTCTCAGGCATTATGATGAATTATAATTTTGGAATTATACTGCAGGAAAAAATATTATACTTTATTAATTTCATGCTCTTATAATTTATTTCCCAGCATCACATTTTATAATTAAGTCGATCTCAAGCTTCGAGTGAGCACAGCTTTAAATTTGAAACAAAAGTCCTAGCAAATATATAGAAAGGCATATAACCATATGACCACAGTAATGGAGACTTTGATTCCTCTGTCAGGCACTCAACTCGGCATATTTGTAAAGATAATTGAAATATTTGGAACACCTTTTAGCAGTGCTACACGCAAAACAAAAATACGCTAATGTAGGTCCCTTAACACTTTACGATTATTGCATAACTCCCATTTTTAATTCGCAGATGTCAGATATCAATTTGGCCGCCTATAATGCCTTCCGTTGTGACTTAGCGAAGGTGCAGAAAACGTTTAGTATTTGCACACAAACACAGTTCACCGAAGAGGAAGCTACTTGCACTGATATAAGTCTGAGTTGCAAGTTTCTGGGTCGCCGTAGGTAATGACAACCGGCTAGGCAGTTCTATAGGTATGCTGCCATAAAGTGACAAAAGTGTGAGCAAACAATTTCAAAAAAGCAAAATTAAAATGTAGGTAATTTTTGGCTCAAAAATGTCCACACCGAATAAAGCCAAAAGCACAGTCGATGATAAGTCTTTGGGACGACCAGCAGCAAGGACAAGCTCGACAAGCCAGGAAGGAAACTATCCCTCAGAATGGAAGCAACGGTCCAAATCACGGCCTAGCTCAACTAGTAACGATGAGAAGTATCCGACAGCGTGGAAGCAGAACATGAAAAACGCTCTCCAGGCGAACAGCTCGCCTCGCAAAGTCCACTCTGAGGGCAGCATAGATGTTACTCAGACCTCGTGGCAGGGCAGCAGCCAGAAAGGTTCAATTTCCGAGCATAATAAGCGAATCATTAAATCGGTAAGTGAAACACTTCTCGAGACCAGCGAGTCGGAGGACCCTACGCTGGCAGCTGTTGCGTCCACAACGGACAGCATAAACGCAACATCTACGGTTCTCTCCCTGCCCTCTGCGAGTCGAACGAGCAGCATCAGCACCATTGGCAGTGCGCAGCTTAGCTCCGAACACTTGACGCTGTTGTCGGGGTCGCAAACCTCGGGCTACACCACCGAGAGCCGATATGAGTCCGTTGCCAGCAGCTATACGATCAGCTCTGGTTCTTCGAATAGCGCTTTGGGAATATATGGCACCGGCTATAATTGGATTCCACAGCCCCGGATGACGCCCCATAATTTTTTACGTGAAATTCATGTGGGCGTCGATGTGGCAGCCTCAAATCAGGAAATCCAACAAATACGTAGCGATCTGCAGGGCCTCCTCGCCAACGAGATTTCGATGATGAGGCAAACTGGCGGTGGCAGACCAGCTATATATGTGATAGCCTACCACTTTATGTAGACCAAGTGAAATTAATTACACGGCACCAATAAAATTCTAAATTTCTCATGTTAACCATGACAGCTTTCAATTCCAAAAGGGCGCTATTTGCAACGTTTTTAGAGTTGCAATTGGATAAGAACATTTTCAAGAACAAATTTAAGAACTCAGCACTCAATCTGATTATCTGTTTTAGGTTTCTTTTTAATAAGAGTAAGGGACTACTGTGATAGAAGATTGTCAATTTTAGACTTGTCTAAATTTTTTTCGACACTTATGGAAACAAAGTCATCTGAGCTAAAAAAAAAATTATAACGATGTTAAAAATCGCATTTAAAAAAGAAGCATTTCTTAGCTTACTACTTGTATATAATTTATCTTTTGGTTCCGTTCATGCTCTCGATAATCAAGAACTTTCATGGTTTACTTTGAGTTTTTTCGTTGCGGACTATAATTCCTATGTGGCTTTTCTGCGAAAAGTTATTATTGAATTATGAGTACTAAGGGAAGTGCTGGATGACGCCAAGTAGTACAATTTTAATTTGTGAGTATATGGCTCTAATTTAATAGATTGAATTATGGATCTTATATCAACAATATAACAGAAGAATAATTACAAGCTCAGAGAGGAGTTCATTTTTTAACATCCGTTCCCATCAAATCAAGTCGAAATGGTAATAAAACAATTTTAAAACAATATCTTTTATCAATGATTGGACTTGATATAAGTATTTTCTTGTGTCCACGCAAATGTTTATTTAAACTGCATATCAGGGAACTATCTATATTGTACTATATTTTGGATTCCAAAAACTTTATATTGGAAAACGCTGTTTTGTTATTAGGAATAATATATGTATACGAACACTTAACAAATTAAGAATGTCGGAATGGGAATTCTTATTATTAAATTAATTATTATGCCTTTATGTAGATTCACTTCCGAATGTACTTATTATTAACGACTGATTGAACAAAGAAATGGAAGAAAATTAAAGAAAACGACATCGAAATCATATAAATATGTAAATATACGATTAATATAAATATGTAAATGGAGCTGCATTTAAAATCAATTCATCAATGAGTGAGATATCAGGGATGTCGCTGAACAAAATATTGAAGCACGCTAAAAGGACGTCTCTGAACTAAACCAGGACTTGCCCTTCTGAAAGCCTTTAACTTGAGAATCGGCTACTGTTTAATATGCTATTCTCCGCTAAACAAAACAAAGACATTATAAATGCTTACAGTCAATAAAATTAATTAAAAACATAAGCAAATATTCGACGTCAAGAACAAAGTATGAATGAAGTGAATGCACTCAAGTCAGGTACTCGTTTTGGGTAACAATTTTGATCGCCGGAATCGGCGTATCATTCGCTTGTTGACATTCAAACAAATTATGAGCGCGCAAAAGCCAACAAAAACAAATCAACCCCGAATAGAGAGGAAGGAAGGAAGGAAGGTTGGTAGGAAGGAAGGAGGAAGGAAACAACAAACCAAAACTGCAACGCTTAGGCATTCATCGAGCAGCGTTGTGTCCGAGGGTAGTGCCCGTTAATACGAAAGCCAAACAAGAACGTCTAACGAACGGCACGCGGCCAGCGTGCGATCGAGCGGCCGAGCGAGCGAGCGACAAGTGCGTGAGGGTTGTGGGTTGTACTTGGCTGAGTGTAGGGGTGGGGGGCTGGGTGGTTTGCTCGGCACTAAGTGCACGATGACGACAACGACTACGACGACGATGGGCAAGTGGAAATGACAAACATATTTACACAATTTTTGACAGGCGCAGAGCAAATAGCAGGCGCCCAAGGAGGGGGTAGGTGAACGGGTGAAACAAAACACCCGTGGGTGCTGCGGATACTTTACTCTTCACCCACCCCCCTACTCAACAAAGCAAACTTGATAAATATGGTTATGTGCAAATAACAAAATATTTGTCGATTGCCGGTTGTCGTTGTTTTTATGTTTCTTTTGGTGAGCGCGCGCGTGTGTGTGTGTGTGGATTTTTTTGGGGAGGGGGAAGCACCGCAAGCGCATAATTCAATTTTTCTGCTCGTTTTACAGCAACGACTACGCCTGGCGGCCGTTCAACTCCATTGGGATGCGCCAGGACGTGGCTTCGTCTTCTACAGCTGCATATTAGCGACACGTGTCTCAATCCCCCGCCCCCGGCAGATGCGGTTTTTGTGCCTTGCCCGCTTTATTTATTTGTTTGTAATTACGCGTGTTCCTCTATAACACACACGCACACAAAATCCCGGCGCACTTGAAACTCAGCTTCGAAATCTATTTAGGTCCACGCGCCTATGCTCTTTTTTTCCTCAGCGCCACGTGCTGTTTCTGGCCTATTCCCTGGGCTGGCCTGACGCTGCGCTCGTCTGCGCGCATTAGCGTTTAGACAGCAACAGACAATGGACGAAGTCGACATCGCCAAACCTAGCGTACACTGGTTTGGAGTGATACAAAATGAAATCCTGTAACAAAAAATGTACTGATCTAATGATCCGAAACCCGGAAACCGATTAAGTAGTTTTGTAATAAAAAACATTGAACGCTTACTTTTCAGTACCTTCCCATTAGTACAGAACACGATAAGGTTTTTAACCGGTTCGAAAACCTTTGATATCCACCTAAGTAGTAGTCCATAAAAACAATCACCTAATTTTAAAATGACTCTGACATATCCGAAGTATACAAAATACGATGTTAAAATATGGTGGATAGCCAAAATGGGCTAAATAAATGGTTGAAAAATAGTTCAAAATAGGGCAAGATCTCTATGTTTCACTGCAGTCCTTAATATCTTAAGTAATATTTAAATGTTGTGGCCGAGATGAGATTCGTACCGTTTAAAAGTGTTTATATACATTTTAAAAATGAGTTGGCAACTGTTTGGTACTGTTTTAAAAGTGATGCAGCGCTCTATTTATCTCTTGAGTACTTAGTTAGTTGTGAACCAATACGACTGATTCAATAATCCCTTTAAGATATTGAAAAAGAAGATAAAACCTGCTTTGAATGTGATTCGAGAGTTTGAAGTTGTATGTTAATGGACTAAGGCATTAAGGAAGAAATATGTTTTGGGGATCAAAATGGCCCCCAATTTAACTCATTTAATCTTGAAAGCTATACTATTATTTAATTATTTCTAAGGTCGGTAAAAAACAGGCTGTCTACATAGGTAACGTTTTAATAAGTAACTACTACACAGATATTTGTGAAAAGTTATATGTAACAAGCACCAGTAACATAAATATTCGAAATATTTAAAGCCCCATTATTTAATAATGTTGTTATCAGACACTGCTACACTTCCTTTTAGACTCACATATAAATTAACCAAAAAATCAAGAATTACCTCCATAAAAATTAGCCTTTTAAGTATAAATACAATAAAAACCATCACCACAACACAAATTCAGTTTGGAGCAAGAACTTCAAATGTAATTATAAATGAAAAAAGGATTTCATGGTTTCAATGATAAATATCCGTAATTTGTGTATAACCGCACCACTGTGCGTTGGATCCTCCTCAGCCATTTGGACATTGTCAACAGTTTCGGCTTTTGTGATGTCTACAAGGCTCTCATGTTGACTGCGACGCGTGCATGCAACGGTTTCCCATTGTGTCAGTTGTCAACTTTTGGGCTTGGCTTTTAGCGCACGCTTTGGCTTGTCAATTGTTGATATGCCTGGTGAGGCGACACATGAAACGAAATCATAAATGTGACAGTTTGGGGCTGGAAGCAAGGATTTTCAGGATTTGTAATGCTAAATTTAGCCACAGCAAAATAAACTTTGAGTTGAAATGAGAGACAGCTTTAGATGATCAAATTATTTGTCACATTTGGCTTAGGGCCAAGCATTTTCCAATGCTTCTAAGCTGTAATAATGATGTGGAACAAATAATAAAGACTACCAAGATTATTTATTGAGTTTGCCTATACTCTACGATTCTAAAACTATGCGATGGGAGATGGAACTACACAGATATGTTGTCCAATTTTAAGGTTTGACTATAGTTTTTTATATTTTGATATCTGTAAAATATTGTTTAGATTCTACAAAAATTGCAAAAGAAAAATTGAGTATAAAAATAGTGTAAATTTGTTCAGACAAATCGCGATCCCTTCATGACTTGTATTAGATGGAAAATATTTTAAGATTTGAAGAATAGATTAAAATAATCTTAACAATACATATTGCTTAATAAACTATTGATTGTTACCAAAACTACATCTATTATAGCAAGCTTAGCGGTTCAAAAGTTTGCATTACCTCAAAAAATGCATTTTTGTTTGTCTTTATTTATAAAACTTAATGTTCAACTTCTTATTGAAATACATAAGCTCGTTATAACTGCCCGATAAATTCGTCCAATGAGTCACAGATGTTATTATATAGTTTTGTTTTTGGTCGGTTTTTAAAATATGTAACGTATGAAGATAGTCTTATTTGTTCAATAAATTGAATCATTTTTTCCGCATGCGTTGAAATTTTATTGGAAAACCGCAATTTTATCACAGGTACAAGCACTAACGTTTCATCTTTATTAAGCAGACATTTTGATAAATGTTTTATGTGGTACATATACAAGTATAGCAAAACATAATTGCTTAGATTTATTTTATGAATAATCTAAATTTAAGAATAGATAGAGAATAATTGACTGAATTATAACAATTATTGCGACGACTATTTAACGATCCTTAACTGTGATCGGAATGAGCATTTAACATTCACAGTCTCACTTACAGAGGCACTAACAGTTGCATTAACAGAATTAGAAAATTGAGCAACAACAGTGTGTTAGCATAGAAATTAACAGCAGCATTGGCAACAATAAAGGGGAAATACTTGTAGAAATCACACTTCATTTAATTTAGTTAATTATAGATGAGCAACAAAAATCGTTCATTTCTGTTTTGCTACCACTGTGATGTATAATTGAGACATAATTGGCAATTTTCTCTGCTAACATAGAATATCAAATCGTCTACATTTTGCACTACTTATTCAAATGACATTAAACGTTACAAGTCTATCAATAGCACGCTCATCCCTAAAGGAAAATTCTTAAGTAAATGTCATTTTCGTAACAATTAGAAATTCACGTATTACCCCAAAGAGCATACGAAATTAAGATGCCAGAGAAAGAAATGATTTGGCTTTAATTGCAAAACACTTAAGCTGGGCAGTCGACTGCATACTTATGTAGATATATTAAAATATTTACATAAGTCAGCTGAAACACACAATTCTAAAAAGCCCCCACCACTTCCCATCCCTTCACATTTGAGTCGCTTTCAACGACGCTCAATCAAAACAACACCTACAATGGATGACCCAGACTTACACCCACACTTGCACTCGCCTTCACACAACTCTTCTCTCCCATTCACAAATTCGTTTGGCTCGTGACCTTTTGTGGCGGTACGACCGAGTGAAGGAGCACAAAAACAAAACGGAGCGAAACGGTGAATAATTAAAGATATAAATAAATAAATAACATTCAGTCGAGGCCGCAATTGCAATAAAACTAAAAAGAGTGCACATACACGTATACTCGTATGTACAATATTTCTTTTTTGACATGGCCGGTTCAAAAACAAAATCAGAAAATCAGAAAATATCCATTAGGACAGCAGGCGGCCAAAAGTCAAAAGCAAGACTGCCTGTCTGCCTTACTTGGCCACCCTCTTCTTCATTTCACTTTATTCATTCTTCCTTTCTACTCACCCTCGAGCGCACGATTCCTTGAAATTAAGGCAAGGACCAGCTCAGGATTTGGGTCATTCTGGTCGACAGGAGGCAGCGGAAGTGGCAAAGGCAGGGCGCTGCTAGTGCTACTGCTAGTGCTGGGGCTGGTGCCACTGCCAGCACCGTGATGATTGTGTTGCTGCAGGGCCGCGGCTGCTCCTGGACCCGCAATAGGTCCTGCCAGGGTGTCTATCAGTTGCGCTACCTGCGGCGTGGGCGGCAATTGTTGCTGCTGATGGATATGCTGCTGATGTTGGTGATTATCCATGACTGTCAGGTGCTGTTGTTGTTGTTGCTGCTGCTGCGGCTGCTGCTGTTGATGTTGATGATGATGTTGATGTTGATGCAGCGATGGCGGCGGTTTCAAGGTTTGCATCATTGCTATGGCCAAATGCATGCAAGCCGCCTCCAGTCAGCACAGCAACAACAACCACAATTCAGGGGCAACAAATAATTGCCGGCCGATTTGATTTCTGACTCAACTCTAAGCAAATTATATCAATTTGTTGTTTGTTTTGTGGCACACGTGCGTATGCGCAATATTTATTGTTGTTCACTTAATAATTTGCCGCCGGCTTAGCACACAAATCTTCAATACAAATGAAAATTATCAATTATTTTTATAAAAATTTGCACACGTGAACGCGTATTTTTATTTGTGTTTTGATTGATTTGCAAGGAAAACCCGTCAGAGCGCGCGCCCAAAAGCTTTGGTTTTTCTTCTATTTTCCGAACCGTTTACCGTTAGCCGTGCGTCCCCATGCGCAACTTCTTTGCAAAAGAGGCGGCCGAGCACAGGCAGTCGCGCAATGTTTGTCACCTGGCGGCGGACTTTTTATGGCGACGACGACTGTGGCTATGGCGGCAACCGATAGATAGAAAGATATTGGTTAGTGGTGGGGTCGCCAGCTCGGTTGAGTGTTTGGTTGGCGGCGCGAGCTCGGGCCTTCGCTCGCTCGGTAGTTGCCGTCGATTTTATTCTTATCACACACACGAACAATATGCGCGCGGGTTCTTTTGGGATTTTTTGTTTTTAGTTTTTTTCTTTGGTTTTTACGAACTACCGCTATTTATCTGTGGAGTGTGTGCGTGTGGATGGAAAGAACATGGTTTCTACGTTACAACAACTCAATGGTTCATATACGAGTAGTATATGTGGTGTGTATGTATTTATACATCGGGTTGTGTTGAGTATTTGTTGGCTTGTTGTCTACATTAGTTTTTGATTCTTACGATTACGAGGGCAGTTCTTGAAACAATTACGATTCTATATTACTATTAAAATACTGAGCAATCATAAAGCAGATTTCTTAATCAATCAATCAATCATCGATCATAGAAATCTGTTAATAGCGACAATAAAACCTCAGTGGTGTGAAACGTCAAAGCAATCGTTCTTGAAAGCTGTTCAACATAAGGCGCAATATCTTATAAATACATTTAATTATATTTTAGTACTCAGCTATTTATCTAATTTTATATTAATAGGCTTTATTTATTTAGTGATCGTTTATATAACAATTTTATTTTCAGTAATAGAACTACAAGTGTAATGTATTTCGTAGCTCTAGAAAATTAAAAAAATAAATTTGATCAATAAACCACATTAAATTTGTAAAACTCAAATCATTCACAAAATCAAATAATTTTGAAGTTAAGATATTGGAAAATACACTGACCTAATCTAATAAAATATGAATTAAATATTTAATTTTGTAAAAATTGTAATACTGTATGTTTTAGTTTAGGAAAGGTGTACATAGACTTGTCAAACTACCCTCTTAATCTTAAGATACACCCTGCAATCTCTCAATATTTCAGGTGTTGTTCTCGAGCGTTGTCTGTCTTCTTCAGTAAAATGATTTGTAAATACCATAATATTAGCTGACTATAGTTTGAAGGAAACATTTACGTTAGGTGTGTTGCTCTTTATCACTGATGGCGGCGTAACGACAACTTGTCTGGTATTGTAACGAGTTGAGTTACTCGTACGTGGCAAGTAAAAACAGAACTTTTATCACTTGTGAATCGTATCAAGAAATACCAAAGCTTGATTCAAAAATGTATAAAGGGCCCTGAAGTGACATTACTGATTTATCCATTATATTTCCAAAACGGTATGTTTCAATATTTCGAAAGTCATATTTTATATTTTAATACAGTTATATCGTAAAAATTTAACACTTTTGAAGCACACAGCACCTGTATTTTAACTTGTACAGCATTTGTAGATTAGATTTGAAGACAAATACAGCATGTTCAGAATCTCGAAATAAGCTGACACCGGAAGTTTGGCGGAAGTACTTATGGAAAAGTCAGAGGTATGCGACAATACTGAGAATTTTGGTACATGCTGCTATGTGATAAAAGAGTTTTATTAGAAGGAAATTAAATAAACTGCATATTACTAAACAGATCTGTTTTATACAAGTATTTGCAGAGTGTATCATTTAAATGGTTTGCCACTAGAGATAGTCACGTGACTATATACTTCAAAATTTTACAAGTAGACCGTGAAGACATTAACGTCATTTCATTCTGAAGTAGTACTTACAAAACAATACTAACACAAATTCGTTTAGTATTAACTTTTCGTGGTCTTTCAAAGTATATTCTGAATAAGGGACAACCTTATCTAAGTAAGCTAAACCGACTTGTTTTGGCATGTTGATCAAGAAAATATACCCTTCGTGGGATTTGTCACGTTTCCTTCTGTCTGATTAATTTATTTCCTTGGACAAACAAATTAATATTCTACTCAAATATACATATATACAAGTTTCTTAATCAGCTTACTATATGTCAAAAATTATGGCTTAAAAAAAACTAAAAATTACAACGGCAAAAAACAATTTTCAAAAACGAGTTAAACACGATTAATCTCTTCTATTTGCCATCACTCAGGTTATTCATTTCATAGCCAAAAAATCAAGCTGCAACTGAAAATTTGTTAATTTAACTAGAGAACATTATTTATTATCTTGACTTCAGGTTAAACATTTAAAAGTTTCGAAACTATTTAGTTTATATTGGGACAATCCATATGATAATTGGGTTTTTTTTTTACAGTATAATTGCAAAATGTATAACTGAAATCGAATATGCATTTAAATGCGTCCAATGCACAACTGATAAGCCAATTATTATTATTAATATACTTCGAAAACCTTACTTCAGCTTTAGTTACAAAAAGTTTCATGTCTCACACTTAATTATAAATGCTATTTCGTCGATTTGATATTTCTAGATTTCTCACATTCCATTCACATTACTTATTAAACATTTTATTAAATATTTTAAATTTTGCTGTTTGTATTTTATTTGCTCACAACACAAGCTGAAACGCCATTTTGCGACGGCAATTGCGACAAAATGGCGACGGCTAACACAAATAACGACGGCAATGACGTTGGCGTGATGTTGCTGCCGACGATGACGATGGCGATGACGATAGCGACGGCAAAAAACGCGACGCGCTCTTTGGAAAATATTTTCGGGCATGAAATTTTGCGCGCGTCTGTGTCTGTCAGTCGCGCGAGACTCACTCGCACATCCGTCTGTTCTGTCTGGGCAGGGCAGGGCAACTCTGGCCAACTGTAGGCAACTCTGTTGTTGGTTGCCTGCTTGCTTGCTGGCTGACTGCCTTGGCTAGCGACGTTTTGCAGTTTTTCGTATTTACCATTGCATTATTTTCTTTTTTTTTATATTATTTTTGTTGTTCATTGCTTTTGTTGTTGTTGTTGCCGTTACTGGTAGTTACGTACTTGTTGTTTTTGTTGTTGTGTGAGCTTTTTATTTGACTTTTACGATACTTTTCATGCCGTTTGCCTTTTTCTCGCTGCGACGTTGGCGGCGACGTCACAGGCTGCACACAAACATACAAATACACACACTCATATAGATGTGTATAATAGATGCCAATACAAATGTGTGCTTGTGCATGTCCGTGTTTACCAATTGATCTTAATGTGACACAAATGATATGGTAAAATGCACTCAGCTAGCCAGCCAGCCAGCAGTCAACCAGCCAGGCAGGCAGAACAACAATGGCGGCAGCGACAACAACAAAAATAAAAACAACAACGACAACGTTGCTACTTTACTTATTTTTTTTGGCATGCGCATTTCGTCTTGCTACCCAACTCAGTCCTTTTGCGACTGGTAAAAGTTATTTGTAATACGTAAAAAGTTTTGTGCGAAAGTTTTCTGTTCAGCTCAAGAATTTTAAGTTATGTATGTTTGCAAAAATGCTGTGGCAGCATTGGCAACAACAGCAACAACAACAACAACAAATTGCTATTGCCTGGCGACACCTTCGCTGGCCCCAAAACAACAGTCAACAGCACTTAAAAGTTGGTGGCAACAGCAACGGCAGTGACGGCAGCGCCGCAAATATGAGAAACTTAACTCAAAAGTCCAAGTCAATACGCGCGGTCAACAACAATAATAACAACAACAACAACAGCAACAACAAGAATATGAACAAATACGCCTAGGAGTTTCCAGGCAACTAAGCGCCGCCCCTTTGTATTGAAAACATTGGAAATCGTTGATAAAAGCAACAACAATAGCAACTACAAGAACAGCTACAAAGAGGGGACTTTACTGCGTTTGCCTTTTCGGACATGCGCGAAGTTTTTATCTTATCGAGGCAAAGCGACGACGACGACAGCGACGCCATTAAACGAAATGTTTTGGGTGGTTGGGCGGTTGTTGTTTGCTTTTTCGTTCGATTATACAAGGGTTACAGTCTCATTCCAGCGCCTGCGCAGTGCCGTCAAGCAGAGTTGGCGGGGAAATCGATACCCGAATCACCCTGTTCATTAACTTCCTCGACTGCTGTTGCTGCTGCTAATATCTGCTGCTGCTGCTGTATCTGCAAGACTTTTCGTTAGGCATTATCTGTCTGTTCGTCTGTCTGACTGTCTGTCTGTCTCGTCCATTTGTTCATCTGCAAAACACATTTTTGTTTTCGCATTTATTTATGAGGCGCTTATAGCGCGCCAAATACTTAGCCAAACACTTTGAATCCGCAGTGGCAGCGACGTCAGCGTCGACAGCCAAGCGGAGCTGCCACTGCCTAACAAACAGCTGCGAGCTCCGACACCTTGGCCAAAGGAATACAACAATAATAACAACAAGCACGACAAAAGGAATTTGCATTAAGCACTTTAGTTTCCATACATACATGTATTAATAAATACATACCACCACTGATAGCAAAATGGCAGTTGGCATTGAATGCCAAAGGAGCTTAACTTTCATATCGAAACCTACTTGATAAGTTTAAGGCAACATCTACTGGAGTGCGCTTAAATCGAACCCAATCATAATTGATCTACAGCCAAAAATTGATATAAGTATCAAATGATAATCGGTCAATAAGAAATTATACTCAAATGAATGCCAAACGATTAATTCTCGTATATTAGTAAAATTGTGGGAGTTACATACATAAAATCTGATGCTCGGCTACTGCCATGCTTCCAACCTAAGTAACTCCAATGTATACCGATCCGTTTTTCCGTTTTACTTCGGAGGAACGTATTATATACATACGGGTGTAAGCGTACTAAATTGCTGGTGCCAGTAACAACAACTGCGGACAGAAGATGGACATTCATGACTGTAACATCACTTAGAATTGACGTATTAGTGCAAAACTTGGCATTTCAACAAATAAGTAGTAACAGCAATAGTCGGGTATTAAATTCGAAGTATTTTGCAAAGTGTTATGGAGTGGATTATTATTATGATTTTGTTTTTTAAACTTCTATATCGAGAAAATATCCAAATAACAATAAATTAATATCTCGTTCACTGGGTTTGAAAAACTATGAAACTTTGATTCATTTGTTAATGAATAGAGCCATTAGCTTTCCATAAACACATACAATCTGAACTTGTAATGCATGTTTCGTTTCATTACTTTTAGCAAAGTGTTTTTATAATTTAGGTCAGATTTTCGTGTAACAGGAACAAAAAAAATTATGGTTTTTTCATATTAATTTGTATTACAAGCAGATAAAATATGAGAATCTCGTATATAGTCAGATTATATGCAAAAATAACACGATTGTAGTTAAAAGACTGAATGGAGCTCGAAATTATGAGTTTTGGTTGCACTGTGAATATATTCACAAATTAAGATTCTTTGTTGAAGTCGCAGGATCCCCCATCCACAGAAGGTGCGGCGATTTTATAAATTTTTTTTTTTATTTGTTTATTAAATGTTCCTATGGGATGTAAAATCGACATACGAACAGTATATTAATTTGCCGAGAGGGGAAAGTGTAATCAGATTTGTCATTAAGAAGTTGTCTCTTTCTTTCAGTGTGCATAAGTCAAAAATTTATCCAATTACAAAATTAGGCTAAAATCAGTATAAATGTGCAGCATGTTAGAAGCCATCTCTGAATCAATTAAAGTAGTTCCACCAGTTTTCTGTCAGTGTATAAAAGCCAAACACTAACCCAAAATAAGGCTAACATCAGCATCAATTAGATATTAGAAGCTCTCTCCCTATATCGACCAAAGTAGCCCCACTAGGACAACCTTTCTTACAGTGTATAGTAAATAAGCCAAACACCAAAAATTAGGCTAACATCAGCATAAATGTAGAGCGTGACCCTGAAATTTTGAACACAAACCAAAACACAAACAACATTGGCTGATGAAATGCAAAGCTAGACCATTGCTGCATACACGCATGCACCGACCATTGACCACCAACTCACGACCAGTTGTCAGTGGTCAGGGGACAGTGGACAGTGGTCGCTTGTCAGCGTGCTGCTGCACTTCCGCTGCCCTGAGCTGGGCTTACAAAATCAACAACTCGACGACTTTGACTTTCAAATTTAAAACTCAACACTATTGTTGTTAACTGCATGCCTGGGCGCGGGAACGGCCTCGGGCCCTGTCTAAATATCTGTCAAATGTGTAATGAAGCTGTTAAATGTTTACTATTTTCTACTTAACTATTTTTGCCAAATGGCTGCGCTGGACCAGTCAATGATGAACCGGATTTTAGTTTAAATGGGAAGATTAGACCCTAAATAAAAGAAACAAATGGCATCAGTGCAATGCGGTGTGTTGATAGTGCAGTGAGAGAAAATATTCACATTTTAATTGATTGGCGCTTAAAGTAATATTCCTTTTTTAAATATGTACATAATATTCTCTTGTTTCACTATTCTCTTTTTAAATTTTGTTATATAAAGAAAATTCCAAAATTGTAGATACAAATCCCTAAACAAATATATTTTAATAAAATTAACGTACTATTTAAAAAACTACGTAAACTAATCATTTAAACAAATAAATAAAGTTGAAACAAATCAATTTAAGAACTAAAATAAATAAAACTAATTAATGGTATTAATTAAATTTAAAATTAATAGAACATATAATAAATAGAATAAATAAGTATAAATAAAATGTTTAACATAAAAACTAAGTAAAATAAATCAACAGCTAAAATAAATAAGACAAATATAATTTAACTAAATATAAGCATATGTATAAAATAAATATACAAATATAATAAATTACCAAATTGAAATTTATGAATTAAGAAACTACTGAACTAATATAATTAAATACATCTAATCAAAATAAAACCAAATTGAATAAAATTAAATAAAAAATGTATGTAGTAAAAATTTGAAAAAAAGTAAAATAAGATAATCATAAAAAATAAATATGTATATAAATTGAAATTCATACTGGAATTAAAATGATTTAAATAAAACTTATATACTAAGCTAAAAAAATTCAATACATAAGAAGACAAATAATAATTATTAATAATAATTTATTAAGAAGTTACAAAAATGTCTGCAAAAATTTAGCATTATTTCAACCAATCGTTTTCTGTCTGTGTATGTGGTGTCAATTAAACGCATTTCATCAAATTATCTTGGAGTTATTTTTGCTGTCTGTTGGTTCATTTGGTTTTATTTTTCCGATTTTACGTTTATGAACTCTTAACGTGTTTTCTGTTTTCTGCTCGTCGTCATAGCCACACAGTTACATAAATCTGGGCAATGGATCGGCAATGGTCTCCCTGCATTTGGCCCACTGAAAAACTTGCTGGCTGTGCACATTTTTACACATAGTCGCCGTCTCTTGACCCTACCCATATGAATACTATTTTTATATGTATGTCTACATGGTTGAAAGTCTTTACCAACGACGCGCGCGTAGGCCTGAAGCGCTTAAGATTCGTTTTAATTGAGGCTTTGACAAATTCGTCGAGTTCATTTGTAAGTTCGAATGTAAACGGTGCAGAAGTGCAAATCGGCAGCAGCGCAACTAACGAACGAACGAACGATCCATTGAGTGTTTTGGTGTATAGTGCATACAGGATTTATATCTATCTATATATATTTATCAATATAAAAACATATTGTGTACATGCCCTAATATGGACTTCGATGAGTTTCGCGAATTTGGTCACGCCTCCATTGAGTTTATCATCAACTACATTAAAAATATACGTGAGAGGTGTGTACTATCTATATGTGTCTGTGTTTGTGTATCTGTGAGAGTTTCAAAAGACTTGCCTATTTCTTAAGTAATCCTTGGACTCCTAACACATTCGAACTGCAATTGAACTGCATTTCAAATTGGTTCAAAATACTGTTCCTTGTACAACTTTTTAATAAATTGGTTGCAAATAGTTATAAATTGTTGAATTATGTAATAAAATGTTTTGTCTTCAATTTTAAAGAATTCATTCCAAGGTCAAGTGAAATCCAAAGAAAAAAAATGTAAAAACATATCAAACCCTTGTAAGAAGGTTTAAATTAATTTTAATTTAATTTAAAATTTTCCAAAATTAATTTAAATTAAAATGTAACGAAATTTGTTTATGATATCGTGAGGATAATAGTAAATATTATCATAATTCCTACAATATTTGATTAAATAATATTTATGTAAATGAAACAACTCTAAATGGACTTTTTTAAAATGAAAGCAATAATGAAAGCCTCTATGACTATCAAAAAATTAACTCAACTGCTATTTCAGTATACATGTAACTCGGATACCCCTTAGATAAAGCATTTTAAGAATAGTTTTTACATAATGAGATATACATTGACTTTTTTCAATATTTTCGTCTGCCGTCGATCAATGATTCGTTTTAATTCAACGAAACTTTCTTGGCAGGCAGACATAATATTCAAGAAAGCTCTTGCTATCCATCTTTCCAACGTTTTTTCTAACGTTTTGCATCGGCACATTTTTGCTTTACTTTCTCTAAAAAAATATATATTATACTTTAAAATATAATATATATATAATATATGTAAAAAAAAAAATGAAAAACTATGAAAAAAAAACTTTGTTTTGGACATAAATTAAAATTGACCCATCAAGCTTAAGACCTACTATTATACTCTAAACGTTATCCTTGTTTGCAGAAATGTGCTGCCTAGCGTGGAACCACATTCAGTGGTTAATCAATTGCCGAGAGAAATACCCGAGCAGGCTGAAAGCTGGCGCGCCGTCCTAGAGGACCTGGAACACATTATATTGCCCGGACTAACACACTGGCAATCGCCATATTTCAATGCCTTCTATCCGTCATCCACATCCGCAGGTTCGATCATAGGCGAGCTTCTAATCGCAGGCATTGGCGTTCTAGGCTTTAGTTGGGTAAGTTTCACCAGCATATCAACAAATGTTACAGAGTCAGGATCCGTCCTGTACTGTCCCTCGTACTACTTGTATATACTAACATACTATCACATTTCTCACACGCTATTTATTGGCGATGTAGAATAATTCTGCCTTCTTAACTCCTATTTAGTTTTCGGTTCCTAGTGCACCAACAAGAAGTTAATTTCCATCTAATGTGTCTAGATGCACAATTAAAATAAACTATGTACAAGTTGAAACGTTAATAATTTTCAGAAAAAGCACTAACTGGTGGGCATAAATCTCCCAAAAATGAGAGCTCTTTAAGTTAAAGCCCAAGCGAACAAGTTGTCAGTTGGCTAAGAGAGCGTTCGCAACCAGTTAAGAGCACAGCTGGTTGTCAAGAGGTTGTTAAAAGAGCGCTGTTTTGTTTTGGTTTTTTTTTATCAGCGACTAGCAACTGATGCTAATTGAAGTTTACTCTGATAGTTCATAGTTTGGTTAACCATTGGTCTAAACCAACTGGCGTACGCACGTCCGCGTACTGCCACCGACATAAATCTATTTATGTTTGTGCTTTTTTCCATTTATTGCTTCATAAATATTGAATTAGTTAGTTTTAATTGGACATAATAATGAACTTAATTGACGCATACAGATTAATGATCTTTCTTTAAAAGTGCTTATAATAATATTCTAGTAGTTTATTTTAAAACAAACTTTAGAAAATACAGACACTTGAAAAGTGTGCTATCGAACCAATAAATATTTTATATTCTACTGCAATATTTTGACCGACTGCTTCAGGATTTCGTTCGTATATACTTAGATTAGTTTCTTGAAGCTGAACACAATTCGCTGATGAAGTACCATATTATCTAAAAGGTGTGCGATGTTTTCTTTCATTAGACTTATAATTTAAACCCCCTTTAAGATATGAGAAATACTTATAAATAAATAAAAATTTAAGCCTTATTCAATGAACTTATAAACAAAATTATAGTAACTAAATTTGCATTCCAATATTAAAAATAATACATTAATAATAATATTTTATAATAAATAATAAAACAAAATAATGTTAATTATAATAAATGAAAAGTATTCAAAATAAAAAATATACAATCTTAAAGATAAAGAATAATAATCAAATGGAAAAAAAACAATGAAAACTTTCAAATTTAATTCACAAAAAACAATAAAGAATTAGAAAAAAGAAAAATATTAAAAAATGTATTAAAGAAAATGAGAATATTACTTTTTTGTTAATAAATTAATTTTTAATTTAAAAATCAAATTCAATACTAGAAAGAAAAAAATTCTAAATCAAAAAATTAAAAAAAAGATAAAAAATAATAAAAAATTAAACTTAAAAAAAAAACTTATAAATTAAATTATAAAATACATTAAAATAACAATAAAACCCTTCAATTAAAAATATATATTTCAAACTAAAAAATAAATTTGGAACACATTTTAAAAAACATACAATAGCTAAGAATATTTACGTTACTTAGAAATGTAACTCATTAAAACACATGTAGAATCAACTATCAACCAAAGACAGATACTAGATATCACCAGTTGTGATATAATTGAAATAAAGTCACACCCCCTCATGCACGCCCACAATCACTGGATCTGATAATCAATTGTTGATTGCTTTGTGATTTTACAAATTACAGCCAAATCAAAATAATAATACGGATGCAATGGGTATTTATAACTTAAACATGATAAGTCGAGGCTGTCTTATAAAAATATAGTATAGCTGTACGGCGCATCTTTTAGCTGAGCACATTCTATTTATTTGCTTTTCATTACCACGCAAGTCAAATCTTTGCTGAAAGACCAATAGAACCCACACTAATTCCAATATTCCATATCATTAGAACGTTAAATGAGAACAAAAGCAAATCGAAATATGTCAAATAATTGTTCCGCATAATTAGACGTCACATGGCTAGATGTTTATATTTAGCAAGTCAGTAAATTTAAACGAAATGAAAGATAAACAAGTCGCTGGCTTCGATTAGATCGAACCCACTGTGCCTTTAGCTAGCGTTTCTCGAGAGCCGAAACAGAGACCGGTAATAATGAGCATCGGCTCTGGCTCTGGCACTGACGCTGGCGCTGGGTATATATAAAGGGCTCGACAGCAACGCGCGATTGCAGAGTGAAGTTCGGAACGTTAAAGGCAACAAAGCGGAGACATAGCATATTTTTAAACACGTTTCGAACTTTGTAAACAAACAAAATCGACGTGAAAAGCGCAGCACAAATAGAAACCTATATCGTACATACATTAATTCCTATATATACTATATAATGGATGCTAAAGAGTTTCGCGAATTTGGCAAGGCAGCCGTGGATTTCGTCGCCGACTATTTGGAGAATATACGCGACTATGATGTCCTGCCCTCAGTCGACCCAGGCTACTTGTTGCAACTATTGCCAAAGGATATGCCCGAAACTCCAGAAACATGGCGCGACATATTGTCGGACATAGACCGTGTGATCAAGCCAGGCATTACGCATTGGCAGTCCCCACACATGCACGGCTATTATCCCACCAGTGTCTCCTATCCCTCAATTGTTGGCGAGATGCTCGCCAGTGGCTTCAGCATTATAGGCTTCAGTTGGGTAAGCGAGCTGGGTGAAATGTTTGGGTGAAATTTTATGCCACACAAAGGCAGGTCATTGTTTGGCGACCCTTTTGTTTAGCGTCTTCGATTGTGCTTTGTCTGCGGCGTCGCAGTGAAAGTAGTTCAGGGAAAGAACTTGACAAACAGGTTGTCAAGTTCAAGGGACTCATATATAACCTTATCTAATCGTACCTGTTATGGATTCATTTCAGATTTGCAGTCCCGCCTGCACCGAACTGGAAGTTGTTGTCATGGACTGGTTGGCCAAATTCCTAAAGCTGCCCGAGCATTTCCTACATGCTACAGAGGGTCCCGGCGGTGGTGTGATTCAGGGCTCGGCCAGTGAGGCTGTGCTTGTGGCTGTGCTGGCCGCCAGGGAGCAGGTTGTGTGCCGCGTTCGCGCCAGCCATCCAGAGCTCAGTGAGAGTGATATACGTGGCAAGCTGGTAGCCTACTCCTCGGATCAGAGCAATAGCTGCATTGAGAAGGCGGGCGTGCTGGCTGCCATGCCAATAAAGCTGCTGCCCGCCGGCGAGGATCTCATACTGCGTGGCGCGGCTTTGCGTTCGGCCATCGAGCAAGATGTGACCGCTGGCCTAATACCAGTCATCTGCATAGCTACCCTGGGCACAACCGGCACCTGTGCCTATGACGATGTCGATTCGCTTGCTACTGTCTGTGAGCAGTACAATGTGTGGTTGCATGTGGATGCAGCATATGCCGGCGGCGCATTTGCGCTGGACGAGTGCTCTGAGCTGCGTAGAGGGCTGGAGCGTGTGGATTCGTTGAACTTCAATTTGCACAAATTCATGCTCGTCAACTTTGATTGTTCCGCCATGTGGCTGCGAGATGCGAACAAGGTGGTCGATAGCTTCAATGTGGATCGCATCTATTTGAAGCACAAATACGAGGGTCAAACGCAGATTCCCGATTTCAGGCACTGGCAGATACCACTGGGCAGACGCTTTCGCGCGCTCAAAGTTTGGATTACGTTCCGCACGCTCGGTGCTGAGGGTTTGCGTGCCCATGTGCGAAAACACATTGAATTGGCCAAAAAATTCGAGGTGTTCGTCCTGGCAGATGCACGTTTCGAGCTGGTAGCGCCGCGTGCCCTTGGTCTCGTTTGTTTTCGCGCCAAGGGCGAAAATGAGATTACTGCACAGCTCTTGCAGCGTTTGATGGAACGCAAGAAAATCTATATGGTCAAGGCGGAGCATCGTGGCCAACTGTTTTTGCGTTTTGCGGTGTGCGGCATGGATCCAAAGCCTTCTGACATAGAGTTTGCCTGGACAGAAATTGGGACACAGCTAACGGCTTTGTTGGCCGAGCAGGAACATTTGGCTGCCGTAGGTAAAGCTGGTGATGTAACGGAATTAACACAACAATTCGGGCTGCAACTCACAAACGGCACGAACGAGAAATCGCAGTGAGTGGCGATTGTGTTTGGCAATAAAAATACTCCAATTTTTGTGCTATTTATTTACCGTCTTTAGGTGCCTTATCGTTTACACTGTAGTATTTAAGAGTTTTTCAATAAAGTTAAGAATAACACACGCTTTTTTTCTTTCATTCCACAAAAAAACCGCCAAATTAAAACCGCGGTACGATTGTAATGAGATGTTTTATCTTACCAGACTGTTAAAATGGTATGCAATACAGGCAGTGCTGCCAGACTCGAGCATAAGGTCGCATGATTCTGAATGCGGTTTAACTACAATTGTCTCTTTACGATTAAAAGTGTGTTAAACTAGTTAATGAAAGCTAATTTTCAAACTAAAATTGATTTCATTCGTATCCGTTAAGATTTGATTTAATTGTAAACCAGCGATTAAATCACTGTCATGCGCAAAGCAACAATTTTCCAACACTAGCAGAAAAGCAAAACAAATTTAATTTCGGACTTTTTTGGTCGGTAGGCGGTGGTCCTTTTAACAAATTTAACAGGTATTTCGATAAAACTAGCATATTTGGAAATATTTCACAATAATCAGCAACAACATTAATAGTTCTCTGGAGAAACTAACCCAACTACTATGCAATGGTAGGCGCTGTTGCATAAAAACAAAACGTCGAGCAGATGCGTTGGTTGGCGCTGGAGCTGAAAGCTACGCAAAAATGGTGCATCCTCAGCTGAAACGCTCCATAGAAAGCCTGAGCTTTAGCGGCTACAAATTGACGAGGCGTAACTTATACAATGCCCCAGCACTCAAGGTCATGGGTCGCAGCGTCAACAACAGCAGCAGCAACAACAATGACCAACAGCAATACAATCTGGAATCGGCTAAACAAAATACACAAATTGTGGTAATAGGTGCGGGCCTAGCAGGCTTATCAGCGGCACAGCATCTGCTCAGGCATGGTTTCCGCAGCACGATCGTGCTGGAGGCAACGGATCGTTATGGCGGGCGTGTCAACTCCAAGCGCTTCGGTGATACTTACTGCGAACTTGGAGCCAAGTGGGTGAACATGAATATCGATGGCGCACATAATACCATCTACGAACTGCTACGCAATGCCGAGGGCCTGCGGAAGCAGTTGAAGCAGCGGGAATGCGCCAATTATGTACACACTCAAGGGCGGGAGGTGCCTCCGAACATGGTGGAGCTTATCGATATGCAATTTCGTCAGCTGTGCCGCGGATTTAAGGTCAGCGAGAAGGTGAAAAGCGGTGGTGATTTGCATGTTCTAGACAATGTCATGGCATACTTCAAAACGGAGAGTGAAAAGCTTGTCGGACACTCTTATCCGGATCCAGAAAAACGCGCACTAGCACGAGAAATTTTTCAATCACTATTCAAAGAATTCAGCAGCATTCTCGGCTGCTGCCTGGAGTATGTAAACATTGAGCACATAACCAGCTGTCCCGTACAGCAGGAGCTGCGTCCCCTCTACGTGCCGACGGGTCTGGACAATGTGCTCGACACACTGACCCAGCACATAAGCAAGGAGCAGCTGCAGACGGGCAAGCCAGTAGGCAGCATCCAGTGGCAAACGTTAAGCGACTTTGGAGCGCCCACCAGTCCATTGCCGCAGGAACGTAAGTGCGTCGCCTGTCTCGATGGCACTCTGTACAGCGCAGATCATATTATATGCACTCTGCCCCTGGGTGTGCTTAAGAATTTCTCGGCTATACTCTTTAAACCCGCGCTGCCACTTGAAAAGTTGCAGGCCATCCGAAATCTGGGCTATGGAAATCCAGTCAAGATTTATTTAGCCTACAAGCGGCCCATCAGCCGTTGGCTAAAGTCCAATTTGCGACCGCTGGGCGCGCAGCTAGGCAAGGACGAGCCTGCAATTACAGTGAATGGTCGTCAGGAGCGTTTGTGGACGCAACAGGTGGTGGAGATATCCCAACTGCCCAGCAGTCAGCATGTACTTGAAATTCGTGTGGGTGGCGGCTACTATGACGAGATTGAAAAGCTTCCGGATGTAACGCTGCTCGAGCAAATCACGGCTCTATTGCGTCAATGCCTGCGCAATCGTCTAGTGCCCTATCCACAGGCCCTACTTCGCTCGAACTGGAGCACCTCAGCCTGCTATTTGGGCGGTCGACCCTACTTCTCGACGACGAGCAGTGCGCGGGATGTGCAACGATTGGCAGAGCCCCTCGGCGACATAGCACCCACACTGCTTTTTGCAGGCGACGCCACGGCACTTAAGGGATTCGGCACCATCGATGGCGCACGCACCAGTGGAATACGTGAGGCGCAACGCATCATCGACTACTACTACCTGAAACAGTATATGTGATGGAATACCCGATTGATTCAAGCAATAATAATTGGAGCTAGTCAAAATTTTGTTGTTCAATTAGATAAATATCGAGTAGTGTTTGTTTTTAAATTTTTCAATTTAATTAAGCACACACATTGAATAGCATATAAATATTCAAGCAATAACATAATAACAACAATGACGAGTATTTTGTAAAATTACACCATGCTACAAAATAAATGAATGCTGGAAATTTTCAAGTGATAAATACGTCACGTTTTCTTATTCCCATAAATAGGCTGAATGTGATGTATTCCTTGCCTGATTTGTAGATTTGAATTATAATGCAAATTTTGAAATAATAACAGATGTCATTAAAAGAAAAACCAAAGAAATTTAAGAACATTTGAGGCTTAAGTATAAAGTTTTGAATTAAACATAGTCTTGAAAGTTTTGATTCCCATTTTCATTCATTTTGAAGATGTACGAAGTTAAATGTTAGTCCTCGATTTGTGAGATGTACAGAGCATACTTAAGCAAACATTCTTTAAAAATATAAACATGAATAAACAGAATAAATGTTCAATTACGTTTGAACTTCTCTTTCAATTTGTAGTGAAATTCTTAACTGTAGTATCACTTTAAAACTCCGTTCATCCAACTATAGCATGGTGTTATATTTTGTAAATGTGTAGATTCCCTAAATGTGTCACACAGTCCTGATAGACTGTCTCTCAATACTGGTCGATAATATCTCTTCACTTCTGCTGCTGCTCCTCTTCGTCGGCAGCTGCGCTCACCTCCTGCCAGGAATACTCCATGTCCTCCGGTCGGGTAAAACGGGAGCACACAGCCATGCGTAGGAAATAAACATCGCGTATTTTGGCCGGCACCAAATGGATTTTGCCACGTCCATTGATGCGCTTGAGTAGAGCCTCGTTGCGCTCATTGGAGCCCTTCAGGCGGAAGCAGACGAGTCCCATATTGACCTCCGCCGCCAGCTCAAAGCGCGAATCCTGCACGCACAGCTCCGCAAACTGCTGGGCATACGAGCAGTGACGACGTATGTGGGCCTGCAGGTTCTCGACGCCATAGAGACGCAGAACGAACCACAGTTTCAGAGCCCTGAAACGTCTGCCCAATGGAATTTGCCAGTGACGGTAGTCCGGTGCCGAACCTTGCATATCATGCTTTAGGTACAGAGGATCTACATTGAAGGCATTCACCACCCAGCTGGGGTCCTTCAGCCACATAGCGGAGCAGTCGAAGTTCACTAGCATCCACTTGTGAGGGTTGAAGTTGAAGGAATCTGCCGTCTCAATGCCCTTCATATGATGACGATGCTCGGGACAGATGAAAGCAGAGCCGGCATAGGCCGCGTCCACATGCACCCAAACATTGTGCTTGTTGGCCACCGGACCGCACTCATCCAGTCGGTCGAAGGCGCAGGAGTTTGTGGTGCCGAGAGTGACCACCGCATAGAATGGTATTAAGCCGTCGGCCAAATCCTGCTCTATAGCCTTCTCCAAGGCCTCGCCACGCAAACGATTCTGCTCATCCGCGGGCACTGAGCGCAGCTTCACTCCACCCAGCAGACCCGCACGCTCAACAGATGAATGTGCCTGCGCCGAGGAGTAGCCCACAAGCTTCGAGATAATCGTGTGATCGTCCCAGTCCGGATGTGTCTCCCTCACCTCCTTCATCTTCTTGGCCTTGGCGCCGAGCAGCGCCACCAGCGTTGCCTCGCTGGCTGTGCCCTGAATAACGCCGCCTCCCTTGCCGCCGGAGCAGGCCAAGAATTCTGCAGGCAACTCCAACATTTTGCCCAACCAATCCAGCATTGCAACCTCCAGCTCTGTGCACGCCGGACTCGCAATCCAGGTGAAGCCAATACAAGCGATGGCGCCGCTCAGCATATCGGCCACTATGGCCGGATAGGAATTGGCCGTCGGGAAATAGGCATGGAACTTGGGACTGTGCCAGTGCGTGATGCCCGGCATGATGACGCGCTCAATGTCCTGCATAACATCCTGCCAGCTCTCTGGCTTCACAGGCGCCGCATCAGGGATGAGGGGCTGCAAGTAGCCAGGCTTCACATCCGGCAGGACACGTCTGAAAGGAAAAACACAAACAACTTTGTTAGAAGAAAATTGCATTACCACCCATTCTATGATGCACAAAAAGGACTGCAAATTAAATTAGTGTCCAAAGCAGCCTTCCACAGTAAAGTTACAGCTGCCACAACCAACGCAACTCGTTGCAAGTACGGTTAACACACAAAAATCAATAAGTCAACCCAAAACACAGGGGTTCTCGGAACATCTACAAGTACTCCCTCTGACTAGCTGATGAATATGGTGATATTTCAGCTTAGCTTAGAAGTATAGCAACTTAAAATTTTTACCATATCTTTGGCTTAATTAAGCACAAAAAACCTTCAAAAGACCAAAAGACGCTATGAGTCTGTTGCCGTTTTCTAACAGTTTGTAACAATTTCATCGAATTCGGTAATAAAAACAATTTTTGTCATTTTTGTAATTATCCATTCAAAATTAATTAAAAATGGAACCTCTAATATATATTTTCCATATAGAAATTAAATTAAATAATACCAAATTAAAGCTGTGTATTCACAAACTTAGAGAAGCTAATATATTACAAAACAATATTTACTTTAAATACAAGTATCCTAAAAATGTAAAACGACATCAATAGAAGCTGACCTTTTATTAGCATTGGCTGTCACGAATTTTTGTAGAGATAGTTTAAAGGTTTACTTAATTATTCTATGTGCTTTCATTATCTGTACAGTTTCTTTAAAAAAAATCCAGACTTAATGAAAATAAAATGTATCTGAAATAAATTTGAGTCTGATAACTTGTCCAATATTTTTATACCCTGTACCCAAAGGGTACAAGGGTATATTAGTTTTGTGCGAGTGCACATGGAACACACAGAAGGAGGCTTGGTAGACCCCACAAAGTATATATATTCTTGATCAGCATGACAAGCCGAGTCGATATAGCCATGTCCGTCTGTCCGTCTGTCTGTCCTTCTGTCCGTCTGTCTGTCTGTCTGTATGAACGCAAGGATCTCCGAAAGTATAAGAGCTAGAATAACCAAACTTGGTATACAGATTCTCCTGAGACCGAGAAAGGACGAGTTTGTTCACTTTTTCTGATCCAACCCCCCACTCCCCCCCTATTACCAATTTTCTATAACTCCCGTAATTCTTGGAATTTTGAACTTAAATTTGGCTGTCACATTAGGATAGTAATTATATATCCGTATACCAAGTTTCATTATGATAGAATGATCGAAAATAAAGTTATAGCCATATAACCAGGCCCAATGCACACATACATACATATGTACAAGTACACAAACACGCATAAGGCACGATTCTGATGTAAATGTAAATGTATGTATGCATGCATGGAATATTTTATATTTAATTAGTTAATATTTAGTTAATTAATTAAATTAATTTAGTTAATTAATTAAATTAAATTAATTAATTAATTAAATTACTTTTTTGTGGGGTGGTACAGGGTATTTAAGAGTTGAGCCTGCTCGACTTTAGCATTCCTTTCTTGTTCTTTGTAGCGCATATTTAATGATAATATTTGCTAGGAATTGTTAGTCTAACTACTAAGTGTGTAACTTACTTAGTATGTAACTGTTATACAAATAGTAAAAAATAAGCTTCGCATCCAATAAAAACTAACTTGAAACGGCTATTCGAATTAAGGTCTGAAATCTTCAAGAGCGTGTTTTATCTACTTATAGCTTTTTCACTCTATCATGTACTACGTATTAATACTATAATAATATAATACATACACGTATTATACAGACTATCTTTTCGGTTTAAATTTAATTAGATTTGTGAGTTACGGTATATTATTATATTATTTCTTTAGAAATTAAAAAATGTTCAAACTTAAATTATATTTCTATTCTCTTCTATTTTAAAACATGTCACCCTTTTTGGGAAAATTAACTTATTTACAAGCAGATAATATTCCAGAGAATTTTCTCCAATTGCAGCAACAAGATTTCTTTTGTTCAAAAAAACTTTTCATACTGCCATCCTGTCCTATCAACCTTAAATATTTATCGCACTTTAAATTAGTTGATACCCCTAACAGAATTGTCAGTTTGTAAAAAGGCCAATTAAAATCAGAATTGTGTTTGGCCAGACCTCTTACTGCCGGCAAGTCAACAAACACTTTGTTTTTGATGCACAATTGTTGTTGTTGGAAACTACAAGGCTATTGGCCTTTTAAGAAGTAGTTGCTAGAGAAGAATGGTTGGGCCGTCGCTGTAGGCCTTAAAGCCGAAGGTAGGCGCGGCCTTGACACGCCAGCTAATTAAAAAGTAATTTAATTATTTCAAAATTGACATTGGGCCGACAACATTTTGTAGACAATTAGCTAAACATAAATTGTAGTTGTAAATACAATTAAAAAAGAATTGAAAAAATGAAAGCTACTAATTTGAAGGCCGCTTCAAACGTGCAAGTATCAGGGTTGTGATTTCAAAACACTTTCACCCGACAATCTACAATATCGCATGACTAATGCCACAGCTTCTATATATGTATGTATAGAATACATATATATAGTATACATCTGACAGAAATACGGAAAATGTTCAGCTTTAGAAAGGGAAAAAAAGTGTTATGTGTACCTTTTTTTGTAATTCACAGCCGCGTGCCAATCAGAACAAACTTTTAAATCAATTTATGCCCTGAGGTCAATGCCAGTTAGGGAACAGCAACCACAAGTACAAATAATACGTATATATCAAGTCTTAAATTAAATTTAATTCACGCAACGATCCGACCGATGCGTCAGCTTTAATGCTTCACTAACCTGTCGCGTATATTCTCCAAATATTCCGCTATATAATCCACCATTGATTTGGCAAAGTCTTTGAACTCTGGCGCCTCCATGTCGATCTGTAAAGGGGGAAACACTAATAATTATAATTTGCCTTCAAAATAAAGGTACATTTTAGAATCATCTGTAAAATTGCAAATATAATTAAAAGGAAACTTATAAATTATGTGATAAATAACATTTCAGATAATCTAAGAGACTTTGTCGACTATAAAACCTCAGTTAGTTAGTGATTTCACAAATTGTTGAAAAATTTAACTGATAACCAAAAATTACCTAAATCGGTTGATACTGCGACTGAATTCTTTTTAAAGAAAATCGAGTTTTATATCCCTCTAATTTGGCTCCGTGTTTTACTTTCTCCCAAAACTGTATTTGCAATTCAGTATCCATTATTACATTTAAATTGTTATTTTCCTTATTCTCTACTTATGAAATGATTTGTGTTTAATTGATAATTCAACTATTATTCATCTTCTGATTCGATTTGTGAGAAGAAGCAAATTGAATTATTTAATAAATGGGTTCAATATTTTCCATATCATTCCATATGTAAATATATATATCCTTATACGCTTTTTTTAAACAAAAAAAAGGATGGAACATCACTAAGATGTCTTTATTAATATTTATCACGCCTTATATAAGTGCTAAAGATAAAGTAGTTGGAATAGAGCTGGACCACTTACAGCTTATTGGGAAAATTTAATAAACAACGAAAGAAACTTTAAGTTTTAAATTAAATGCATACAAAGAAGTTTGGTTCAATGCAATAATCGATATAAATAAATATTGCAAATTGAAATTATTTTCAACAAATCCAAGAAATGAACAGAAGTTTCTAATATTGAAACAAAACTCAAATTCAAATGTGACCCACTTACCGACACATCTGGATCCATCTTATCTACCTTACCCGCACCATTAGTTCTAGCAGTAGGGTTAGTTTTATTTGACTTGCTCATGATTTCAAAGCAATGAGATTGCTGTTCCAAAATCGTGGGATTAGTAATTGACAAATTTGAATTGAAAGCAATAAAAGAATTTAATTGTACATGTTGATGACCGATTTAGTTAAATGTGCTTATTACTATATTAGTATCGTTTTTAGTTAAGCTATATATAATCTGACATAATCGTAAGATAGCAAATGATATTTCATAAATTCAATCATGTTTAAAGTTTTTAGATTTAATAGTTTACAATAATCATGAATAACAAAGGGTGTATTTTAAAGAGATTTTTGAACGAGATTTAAATGGTTTTTTTTTTTTTTTTTTTTTTTTTTTTTTTTTTTACATATATACAATTTATTAAACTAGTTTTCTACTACCAATATGGCAGCTTAAGCTAGTTGAAAGTTAGGGAATACAAAAGTTGTCTATAGTAAGCATCTATAGGACGCACTTATATCTATGTACATATATACAATATTTACAATGTTTTACATGAAAAATGATTATATTTTATGCTATATACTATGTATTTTATACAAGGGCTCTTGTGGGGAGATCCTTTGGATGGCACTTCTTCAGTCTTCTCTTCTTAGGTTTGGACAGGAGCCGCCTCGCTAGTGCGTTGGGGTGACTGCCGAGTCGCTTCTCGTAATTGCTTGCGTGCATTTGAATGACATCGCCAACCTTGGGGACACATAAGTCTCTTTCGATGTCCCTAGTGCGCATATACCAGGGAGCGTTGCATATTTTTCTGAGTATTTTAGCTTGCGCAACTCTTATTTTGTTTAGGTTTGAAGCAGCGGCAATGCCATAAATTGGTAGCGCATACTTCCATATTGGACTTAATATGGACTTATATACTGTCACCTTACTGTGCAGGGACAGCTTGTTGCATGGTGCAAGCAGCCATGCCGAGATTTAAATGGTGATACACACTTTTGATGGAATACCCGTGGAAGTACATACTTATACATATCTAAACATTATTATACTATATATATTATAGATGGGACAGGCCTGTTTCTGAATGGACGGAAATTCTCACAAAAATGCTTTACTTAATAAAAATGTTATGCTCTTGAGATGATCATTTTTGAATAAATTAATTAATATTATTGGTACGGAAAATGTATTATTTCCACATCTCCAACAGGTGGAATTGGCCGGAAACTCTCACAAAAAGTTTTTACTTAACAAAAATTTTATATTTTATACCCTTGAGATGATCATTTTTGAATAAATTAATTAATATTATTGGAGCACAAATTTTAGTCTGTCCGAGTGCACTATTCACAAAAAAAAAACACCCTTTATTAAGCGTTTATATATGCTTGCACATAAGTACAAATTTATTTTATTTTTTCAATATTCTCTCTGCTGTTTATAGCAGAATTGTTGATTAGCAGGTTTAATATAATTTATAACAGGCCGGCTTTAACTTGAACTTGTCATGATTTGCTCGTGCTCCTAAATATTTTATATTAGTGTACACAAAATCCGATATTAAGTATATCTCTGCGGATCCAAAATTTAGACATAATTGAAGTGTCTGTAAACGTTGTTTGTAAACCATGACGTTAATTTGGAGGGCCTTGTCTCACGCTCACAAACATATATATTTGTGTGTATATATAAAAATATATTTAATTCAGATTGTCCAAGTGTGTGAAATAATCGGCGACTACTGATAATCTTAATGCAGCTAATTTCTGAATTAATTAGAATAAAATTCTGAATAATGAGGCTGCTTCAAGCTACATACATATGTCTGTAGAGACTCATAAACAAGTTACTAAGCAGCTGCTGCAGGCACTTGGCATTGAAGTTGATTTGCTCGTAAGTTCGTAAGATACATAGATACATAAAGACTTATAGATACTAAAATGCAAAAGTGTGCCAGTAGTTACAAAAGAACGAGCCGAAATAATCCAAAAGCCCAAAATGAACGAATGTTAAGTCAGCCGTAAAAAGAATGCCGTTTAGCCTTGTGAAGCGAATTTTGTCGGACACACAAAAAATTACGTATACGCACTGTTACAAATAAAGCACTATAACTATGTTTCTCATGTTTCTAGACACTCGAATTGTTTAAACAAGGTCCAAGTGGGAAGTGCATGATGGTACACACACACTAACACACTCACCGTGCACTTTGGTTAACAACTTTTAATTATTTGCACTTTTTTGTGGCGGGGCGCGTTGTTTCCGTTTCGAATTCAAAGTTTAGCGAAATACACGTCTCTTGTGCGTTTGTCGTGTGCACAATCAGGCAGCTGTCTGCGAACTGAGCGCGTTCGCTGCTTGGCCAAGGCTTTTAAAGCCTCTAACCAGCAGCCCACAACCCAACAGCAACAGAAATCGTCACGAAACCAGGACCGGTTCAGGGCTGGGCGCTTTTTTCTTATCTGTTGTTATTTTTATTGATCGCGGCCGGGTACCTGGGAGGTACAATCAAGCTAGCATAATTATTTCTGCATTATAAAAAAAGGTATTTAAAAATCGTTACTTCATAGATTTATTTATATTATTCTCCAACTATTATACAATCATAAAAATGAAGAGAAGCTTAACGCAGACGGTGTGGATCTCAACAGCTAAAATTATTAAAAACTAATGTAAGATATCGAAAATACATGTTTAAAACATTTTCTTTTATAAATTCTGTGATAAACAGTGGACAACATAAAATAGTTTGAACAACAGCTCGCAATCGTCGTCGAAATGCTCAATTATTTTTAAAAGAAATTTTTAAGATTGAACTGCTATTATAACATTATAGACTTTATAATACATTAAATATTAAAAAGGTATTTTTAACAGAATACTGTTCTCTGAACAGTTTCAATAAATAAAAATAAAATATAAATGAGAAAATACAATTATAAATAATACAATAATTACAATAAAATTATTATACAACTCTTACACATATCCTAAGTATGCATCTTTGAAGTCGCTTGTTGGCATGATAAAAATATTAAGGTACGATTCTTTATTAGGCACGGTTTTGTATTCAAAATTATAATGTACATAAAAGTGAGAGTGAGAGTGAATGTTATAAATATTTGTATATATCAAAAAACAAACTATTGACTCACTGCTTTAATGACTTTTGTACCGACTTTTAACAAATCTGTTTATAAAAGTTTATCTCATATATAAACTTCGAGCAACATACTATACCTCTGAATTATTCCTACTATTTACAAACATGTTGTAAAAAGTAACGACAAATTGTTCTGCCGTTCTCTTTCCGACCCGTTAGGGGGAACTCCCGAAAAGAGTTGACTCAGAAGTGACAGGGGTTTTCTCACAGCCACCGCAAAGCAAAAACAACACGCCTTGTACACAAGAGATGAATATTAAATTCGTAGTAAAAAACTGAGAAAAAAGAAAAAATATATAGTGTAGTGACGCGTGCTCGCAGCTTGAATGACGCGTGTGATTTTGTTAAAAACTGGTTTTGGTTTCGTGGCATTGACAATAAATTTGCAGAGCATTCGACGGTTTCTTTTGACGACTTCACAAATTATGTAAAGTAAGAAGCAAAAAAACAATAATAAAAAGAACTGACTACGCTCGTGTGAAAAAATGGCCAAGAGACTCAGTAAAAGCCATCAACTTCAAAGGCAGCTGCAGCGCACAACAGCAAAAATATTGTGACGTCAAAAGCACTTTACGAAGCATGCCACAAGTGTGCGTGTGCTTGTGTGTGAGAGTGTGTATGTGTGGTGGGTGGTTGGGGCGTCGTTTAACTGTTGCTGCCAACTTCCTGGCATGGCTCTGTGTATCTGTGCCTGACATTTCAACGAAGCCACTTTGGCAAATCACTTTACTGAATCAACAGATTTTTGCCATGGCAACACGTTTTATTGTAATGTTCAGGCATTATACACACACCGGCAGCCAACCCACCCAGCCACCCAACCACCATCATACCCCACACCAACAACCCACAGGATTTACGACTGGTTGAGTTTCCTTGCCTCCTTCATGCTTAAAGCATGCTTTTTGTTAAGCAGAACTTGAATTGACCCAATTTGATTTATGGCCGACTCCTGCCGATTTGAAGTGGAAAGCAGTCGAGTTTGGCGTTCATGAGCTTTTCTATATTGTAGGCTAAGGCTGTCTAAAGGATAAGTATAAGACTAGATGTCGTTAGGACGCCAGCAAGTGGCTTGAGGCTTGCATAATGAAGAAAATGGCAGCTTAAATGAGTGGCATTGTTGTTAAGCAGAATGATAAGAAAAGTGCAAATTTCATTAAGAACAAAAGCCCTTCTAATGAGGAAGAGTACAAAAATTAACAAAGCAAAATGCTATAACAGCGAATTAGGGATACTCTACTATTGATATTTAAGTGAGAACATATACCATTACGCCATAACAAAATAAAGTTACTGCACCAATATGCCATTTCTTTAAAGTTCAGTTGGACACAAAATCAAAGGATTTAAGTTTAACGTACAAGTTTTTGTTCGCAAAGCTTAGGCAAAGATTAAGCTAAATATTGAATTTAATACTCAAAAATATGGACTACATTTAATTAAAACCTTTCTAATATATTTATTTATCTCAATAGTACATTTAAAATTAGCTGCTGTAAAAAAGGATTGACAAAAATGATTGTGAAACCATTCCTAAAAAATGAATACGGACTAGGAAAACAGGTTATGATATTAAACATTTTAAATTAAACCAATGGAATTCATTAAATAAATAAATAAAAATCAACACATTTTTGAAAATGGATAAGAAACTAGAAAAATAGAAATTTTATTCGGAATTTTACAAAGCAATAATTTGACATTGCAAGATTCTTAATTGTTTTCAAAATAATAATTTAAATAGAAATGATTAAAGTACTGTTCAAAAAAGCAATTAAAATAATAAAAAACAAAATTGCAGGCTAGATCAGGATTATTTTTATTGAGAATATACTTTGACGCACCAGTCCAGATATCCTTTATCACAATGAGGAAAATCATGATCCTTACCTCCTTTTTAGTAAACTCCTATTATTTTCCTTTTGCAAACTTGAAAAGTTGGCTCGGATTTGGGAAAAATAAAAATGTGAAGTCTGAGATTAACACATTTTTTAAGGGGCTCGATGTTCCTCAGTTCAATATCAAAGATATTGATCATCCATGGGAAAGATGTAACGGTTTAAATGGAAGAAATAAATATATCTATCTAAATTCAATTTTTTGTGTTTTCGTTAGTAGATCGGCTGTTTCTACGCCCAACCTACAAGTATTGCTAATGTTTTTCAAACAAACTGGTATACTTCATTATCTAACTATAGTCAACCAGCAAGCTGTAAGACAATATAATGGTTTATATGCTAATTGGAAAAAGCTGCAAAATTTAACATTGTTGGTATTTTTTAAAGCTAGTTGGCTTCTAAAGACACTTTCAACATAAATAAACAATTCGCAAACATTACAATATTTCCTTCCTTCTGTACTAGAATTAAAAAATGTTTTATGTTAGCAAGGATTTACATTATAATTGAAGTTGGTGTATTTCTATAAATGCTATCTGTTCTATTCTGCTATAATTTGGGAAAATAATAACAGACTTTAATGTTTAAAACGTAATTGTATTTTATTGTATATATTGTTTGTTCACATAACAAATTTTTAGTCGTTTTGCAGATATGAGCGCACGCTCCGTCTCTAAACTGGAATCGAATAAGTCTTTTGTGTAGTTGAATTATTAGGTCTGTTGTTTGATGTTGCACACGCAGCGGCTCGGTCGGTAAACAATAAATTTGAACAGCATGCGCGCACAGCTCTTTATAAACGTAAAAATAAAAACTACACCATTAAGAGAACAGCATCTGCAGACCCAACGTAATGCAATTTTGACTGTTTTGGTAGTGCCTGAGCGCGCGTTACAATTTGCAAATTTCAGTAGAAACGCAATCGAAAGTACTTAATAAATGCTACAGATAGTTACAACTTAACAGAAACCAATGTGAGCGGTCTATTGGGCCACATTCGATGGCAGACTGAGCAGCGTGCTCTGGCCACTGGGCAAATAGGCAACGCCACGTGATCTTGATAGCTGATAGGCGATGTCCTCTGCAGCTTCAATACGACGTAGCTCGACAAGACCATCACCGGCCTCACCGAAGGATTTAGCTAGCAAATGTGCAGCTTCAGCATCACCCTCTGCCGAAATAATGGAAGCCAGTTTCTGTTGCTCAGCCTTCTCCACAACAAAGCGCGCCTTCTCGGCCTCTTGTTGGGCAACCTGTTTCATTTCAACGGCCAGCGTGAATTCACGACCAAAAGTCAAGTGTGTCAGCGAAATATCATCCAGAATAAAACCGAATTGCTTGGCGCGCGCGGTCAACTCCTGAGACACACGTTGCGAGACCATCTTTAATAAGCGAGCAACATATTAGAAATCGAACCAACTGATAATTATTACTTAAAACAAACCTCACGCTGTGTAATCAGCTCGCCAGCATCAAATTGTGCGACGACCGCCTTCAGCACCTCAGGGGCAATCGAAGGCAACACACGCTCATCGTAATCCTGACCCAATATCGTATAAATCTTGGGTAGCTCTTCTGGGATGGGACGATACAGAATACGCAATGTGATGTTGACATTCTGCAAATCTTTGCTGCCGGTTATTACCGGCACGTTACGGGGCTGGGACCGGATATCGTAGATGATTGGGCGCTGCACCCAGGGAATGAAGAAATGTGTACCCTCGCCTACAACATGCTCCTTAATGCCGGTGAAACGATCGAATATAACCGCACGATGTCCACCATCAACGTTATATAATGCAGAATTCACAACGCCGCCTACAATGGCCACGCCGAGACCCATTTGTCCTATGCGATTGAAGAATTGAGCAGCCATTATCTATGAGAAGAAATGGAAACCAATTAGACAACCGTTGGTATAAAGTGCACGCCTGATTATATATTATGTGTAGACGAAAGCCGACTTTCTGTGTGTGTGTGTAATAGCCTCCGGATTTCGTCAGTTTTTAGGTTAGAACGTCATGTAATCTGCGATTTTTGCAGCACAAAGATTCAATGCACTAATATTTTTATTGCATAAGCTGCCACTTAATAAAACCATCTATACTAACATTTTTTTTATCGAATTTATGCGCCCTTACAATATGAAACTAAGCACAAGTTTTATGGAAATGAACAACTAAAACCGCACGCAACGAAATGTGAGAGAGAGCGCTGCCGCTTTTGACAATTCAGTTGGCAACGCGTGTAACAGTGCTGAAAAGAGCGACAGTGCTGCGAAACGGTTTTTATAAAAGTTGGTGGTAAACGGAAATATTTAATATGTTGGCGTTCAAAGAAATTCAAAGTATAATATGTCTATGTGTATAAAATATTTATTAACGCCTACTATTGTGTCATCTCCGAACGCCCCGCAATCTTGGGCATTTTTTTATTTGTGCTATCTTCTAATTCCTTAGCCTTGTAATAATGTGGTGCCACTTCCAGTAACCACTTGCTTTCAATCTCAATAACCTGACGCATATACTCCTTGGAGGTAAAGACCAGCTCATGGTAAAGCACCCAACGTGGTAGCTCCTCGAACAGCGATGAATTGGGATGTATCATAACAGTTTGATTGTGTTTAATGGTCTTGTAATGACCGCCCTTCGACAAACGGGCCACATGATAGAAATATCCGGCGGTTACAGCCTTCCGCACATTTACGGTCTCGGGCAGGCAACTGACCATATCAATTTCAACTCGCTGCATCAGACCCACCAGCTGCTCACGCACATCTCGTGCTCGTTTCATCGACCGATACTGTATAAAGTTCTCATAGCACCATTGGGTGCTGTAATCCGTCTCGGCCCACTGATTATACACCTGCAGCAGACTCAGATGATCGCCATGTATATCATTGAAGTTTTTGCGCGCCGTATCTGCATGTATAATTTTATCCTTCGGTCGATAGAAGATGGCGCTATTCACCGACAACATAGCCGCTATGGTTACCATTTCCTCAGAGCATTTGTATCTAAACAAGCAAAGAAATAAAAAAAGTCAATATAACACAATTTCTCTAGATAAAGAACTCATTTCAGAATTATACTCACTTTTCGCTGGCTAACAGCATTTTGCCCATCATAGGATCCACCGGAAATTCAGCCATGCGTCGCCCCAGCTTGGTCAGTTCCCCATGATGATTGAGCGCTCCCAACGCATAAAGCTGTTCCAAGGCCAAGACCAATGTCTCATGCGGAGGCGGGTCCAAAAAGTCGAAATGTATCAAATCATTGATGCCCAATGCCTTCAACATGAGCACCGCGTTTCCTAAATTGATGCGCTGTATCTCCGGCACTGTGTTGTCTTCCAGCTCGTGTTTATACGCCCAGGCGGTGTATAAACGGAAGCACTTTCCAGGAGCCGTACGACCAGCACGGCCTGCGCGTTGATTTGCCGAAGCCTTCGATATAGGCACCACCATCAAAGATTCCATGCCTGTGCGCGAATTGAAATTGTTCTGCTTAGCAAAGCCGGGATCAATTACATAAATTATGTTCTCTATAGTTAGCGAAGTCTCTGCTATGTTCGTGGCCAATATAACTTTACGGGCATTGGGTGGCGTGGGTTCGAAAATCTTGGCTTGCATATCACTGGGAAGATTGGCATAGACTGGTATGACGATGAGCTCACGTATTTTGGAACCCAAGCGCTTCACACGATCCTGCAGCACTTCCTGACACGTTTCGATCTCATCCTGGCCGGTAAGGAACACCAAAATGTCGCCCAATGGCTGGGTAGCGTGAATCTGCAACACTGACACACAGCAGGCATCAATGTAGTCTGCTTCTGGTGCTTTCGTGTAGAATATATCCACGGGGTACCGTCGGCCGGGGATTCGGAATATGGGTGCATCATCAAAGAATGCTGAGAACTTTTCCGCATCGAGCGTGGCACTGGAAATCAGCAGTTTCAATTCCGGTCGAAATCTTGCAATATCCTTGACCAATCCAAACAGAATGTCTGTGTGCAGTGTACGCTCGTGGGCCTCGTCAATGATCATGACGCTATAGGAGCCCAGATCCGGTTCCGAAAGAAACTCACGATGCAACGTACCATCGGTCATGTATTTTAAAATAGTGCGCTCCGATGTGCAGTCCTCGAAACGTATGCTATAGCCTACCTCATTGCCCAGCTTGACGCCCATTTCCTCGGCTACGCGCGCCGCCACAGACATGGCAGCCACACGTCTGGGCTGCGTACAGCCAATCATTTTACCATCCTCTGTGAAGCCAGCTTCGACCAAATACTGCGGCACTTGCGTTGTTTTACCTGAACCCGTTTCGCCCTCGATAATCAGCACTTGATGCTCCTTCACAGCAGCAATAAGATCGTCTTTAAATGGATAGACGGGCAGCGATTTGCGCGTTTCCTCCAAGGTGAGCCGCTTTCGTTCTTTCTCGGTTAGTTCCGGTTGCTTGGAGCTCTTCTCACGATTGCCATCGAGCGTTAGCGCCTGTATGAAATCTATTTGATCATCCAGCAGCAGTTCATATTCTTCCTCTGCTTTGGCATCCTTGGCACCAAATTGAAAACGTGCCGAAGCGAGCTGTTCAGCTTCCCATTTCTTCTGCTCAGAGTTCGGTTGCTTCTCAAATTCATCCACCTCCACGTACTCAGCTATAGGATAGAGAAAAATTAATGGGTGTTATTTCTATGCTTTCAGTTACTTACAGCGCTCGCCCTTCTTCATGTCTTGCGGCATGTGATAGCGCTGTATGCGCTCCAATTCGCGTGCCTTTTCATGCTCCTTGGCAATGTTCAACAGCTGCTTTTTGTATTTCCGCTCCTCGCGTTCCCGCTTAGTCAAACTACTCACGAATTCATCATTAGTATGCTACCCAACTGAGGGATCAGCCATTACTTACACACTGTCATCAAATAGATACTCGTCATCGAGTATGTCTGCCTCCAGTTCCGCAACTTTGTCATCTTTGCGTTTCTCCAGGTACTGTCGTCGCGATTGCACACGCAGGTGTGGCAGTATTTTGTCCCGATCCTCATGTTCCAACTTCAAACGCTTGGTCGCCTCCTCGATGGCCTTTCGCCCGCCGGTCGCCTCCACCACCTTACGTGTACGTTCCTCATCGCGCTCCTTCAAACGATTCGCGAATTCATCGCGCTCCCGTAAGTCCTTCAAACGTTGCTCCTCCTCACTATCCGGTTCGTCGTCACTGCTGCTGCTGTTTGCCGCACGCTTTCGATTGCTGCTCGACATTGCAGATATGTAGTTTTAGTAAATAAATGAAAATAATAAACAAAGAGCACGGCAGAAATGAGTCGACACCGATGCTCGCCGGCTGGGTCCTCATTAGGGATGGGAGGTGTGCCGTGAAAATGGCACAGCAGTGGAGCAAGTTGGCAGCACAGTCCTTTTGTTTACCGCACTATTTCGTGGTTTTGGTTTTTTGGATTTCCGAGCATGTCGCGGCAAATTAATTTTAATGCCGAGGAGGAGTATGAGCGCATTGAATATCCTGGTCGTGTGGAAAACACAGACCGTATGATTGCCACACTAGGTGGTATTTCGAATATATCCAAAGTGCTGGGAGATGAAAAGAAGCGGCTGGAGCTGCGCTTCCATCCTGACAATCCGTATAACAAGCCCGCATTTGGCGATTCCATTGCAAATACGGGCGTGTTGCTCTCGATATCGGTCAGACGACATAAAAAGGATAAAACGCGTCCTCCGCAATACACTGTGCGAGTGCTCGGCTATTGCAGCCGCAGCTTCACGTTTGAAAGTGAGTTTTTTAATAGCATTTTAATATCGTTTTATTTTAAACTCTCTGTCCCTGCAGCTCTCTGCGATTTCCAGTATTTGCCCTTGTATTCCACGCCGAGAAGCGATGACGCCAATGCTGCTGAAGAGATAAAATATGCACTGGAGCAAGTGCTGCCGCGTAATGCCGCTGATTTAGATTACTTCAAGTAGGTCTACTATAATTTAATATTCTATTAAGTAATACCGAAACTTTGTTGCAGGCGCGAGGAGACTCCACTTATTGCCCTGCCGGAACTTTTCGCACGCGTGGACACAGTTTATGGACACACCTACCGCTTTGATAGATCCGAGGACGGTCAGCATGAGGTACTGGGCCTGGTCACAAAATCCACTTACGATCCACGCGATGCTGTCTACTTCAACATGGTGGACGCCTTTCCCACTGACCCGGATACGGAGGTTGTCAAGCGTTTGAAGATCAAATATGTGTCCGATGAGCAATACGCACGTGTGAAGAAACTCTTCGACGAGTGTCCGATTTGGACGCGTTATGCGCTGCTTTATGAGTCGGATGTGAGCCATGATAAGCTCAAATGTATTATACCGTCGTTGGCCTTTTACTTCAACAACGGACCCTGGCGGGCAATGTATGTGCGTTTTGGCTACGATCCTCGCAAGGATTTCAAGAGCCGGTACTATCAGACTTTTGATTTTCGCCTGCGTTTCGGCTTTGGCGTCTCGGAGTTTGTCTACTCGCGAAGGCAGCGGCAGGCGGCAGCAGGTGCCGAGGAGGAGCAATCCAACGATCTCGTGCAGGACATCAATTATCCCTATTTTGATGAGCACAAATTGCCACGTTCCAGGCAATGTGTGTTGCGGGTAAATAGCCCAAAAGTGTGTCCTAGATCAGCACTAATGCTCTGTTTTCCAGTATTGTGATGTGCACCTGCAAAAGATCCAAGACATGCTAGAGAAGATTCCCACACCGCTGACCGGCGCCATATGCAATGAACGCACTGGTTGGCTGCCACCCAATTTCGACTCATTGGCGCGTGAAATCGTCTGCGCCACCATTAGTGAAATCCTACGCAATCATTATCGCAAGGAACACTTGGCTTCCGAGGTGGCCGCTGAGGCAGTGCCACAAGCCGAGGGCGAGGAATACGATGGCGAAGATGAGGAGCTCATCGAGGAGGACATGGAAGTGGACGAAGACGAGTTGCAAACGAGCTCCGCAACCGAAAATTTTACAGATAAAAACATCGAACAGCTACTCAGCAATATCACAAGTTAATGCACAAAATCATACCTCACCTTAAAAATGTTGAATGCATTTTATAAATTGTGATAAAAGATTACTTTTGGTTCGATATCTGTAATGTCGACAGATTTAAGTTCGCTCAACGTTGAAGGTCTCCTGTACAAAGCCGTTTTAAATAATAGCTTTAGTTTATTTTTAATTACTCTGGATTGTTCAAATGAAACTCTTATAATTCATGTTCTATTTTTGTTTTAGAATTATTCATGGTCTATTTATGTTTTGGAATTAACGTTCAGCAAAAAGAGCGATTGTTTAAGCTTGCTTAAACATTAAAAATTTCTTAAAACAAGTTCTTTACAGCAATCTCAGCTTTGGAACATAACTAAATGCATTAAATTTTTGTTCAATTTTCTTACAACTTTTTAAACTTTATGATATAATCAGCTGCTTATTTAAACTTTTTAATATTATTAAACATCACTCCATTTACATACCCAGTTTCAAAAGATATTTATTACAGCAGATCTTTCCCGTGGAAGCAATGTAATAGAGAAATCCTATCGTTGCAACATCAATAGATAAGTACTTATATCTTTATATCCAAAATATTTATAAACAATTTGCTTACAATCCTGTACTATATTCTGTGTAGTATTTCTAACAAGTTTTGTAACTTCATATTGGATACCATCAATATTTCGAAAATCTGTGTAGGAAACAGTTTTTTTCTTTAAAACAGATTCTTCCGAAACAAGAAAAATTTGCCTACGGTCCAATCTGATAGCCTTGCTCATTGCATTATTTCCTATTTGCAATAAAAAGTCTATTAAGAGGGGAAACTAGTTTACGTAAAAAGTCAATTCTCGAATTTATTCTCTTGCTACTAAACGATTCGCTGTTGAGAAATATATATATATAGATACTATGTAGTATATGCCAGACCTTTATTAGGTTAAACATACAGATTAGGGATGAAGTACATAAATAGAAAAACATTTCGTAGCTGTTCATTTTCTAAATGCTGCAAGCTAATAAGAATTTTTTTAGTATTCGTACGTGAGCATATTTAGGGCTTGCATCTGTCCAGGAAGCGTGGGTAGAGGCACACCTCGCGAATATGATAGCGGTTGAGGAGCCAGCAGAGGAATCGCTCCAGACCCAAGCCATAGCCACCATGTGGTAAAGTGCCATAGATGCGCTGATCTGTATACCAATAGTAGGGCTTGGGATCAATTCCCTCGCGTGCATACCCTTTGAGAAGCTCCTCGCTGTCATGGATCCTCATGGAGCCACCAACGATTTCACCCACATTGGGCAGCAGGACATCAACGCTCTCTGTAAGACGAGCATCGTCCTTGCAACGAGACATGTAGAAGGATTTAATCTCGGCTGGGAAACGGCACAGCATAATTGGCTCATTGATCGTGTCAGTCATTTTTCGCTCGGGCGCCTCAGGTATATCCTCGCCATACTCGTAGAAGGTTCCATCATCCTTGGTAACATTGTTCTCCTTCAGCCATTTGATGGCATCCTCGTAGTTCATTCGACGGAACGGACGCTGTGGCGGCTTGAAATCTGGGTTTAATTCCTTGACCAGATAGCCCCACGGCGACTTTAGAATGCGATCAACTACATCGCAAACCAAATCCTCCAGGCGGTCCAACAAATCATCAAACGTTATGAAGGGACATTCGGCCTCGATGTGCGTGTATTCGGCCAAATGACGACGCGTGCGACTCTGCTCTGCACGATAGCTCTGAGCGATGGTGAATACATCGCCCAGGGCGGGCAGACAGGTCTCCAAATAGAGCTGGGAGCTCTGCGTGAGATAGGCTTCCTCTCCGAAGTACTGCAGCTTGAACAGTGTGGAGCCGCCCTCCACCTGTGTCTGCACCAGAGTGGGTGGCGTCACCTCATTGTAGTCACGAGCAAAGTAATGGGAACGGAATGCCTGCATTACCACAGAGCGCATCTTCAGCACCTTGGAAGTGTTCTCTCCACGTATCATAATATGTCTGTTATCCAGCTGCACATCGGGATGCGCCTCTTCGTTGAGTATGGCATCAGCGCCTCCAGGTGGGGCCAATCCTATTAGCTCCCAATAATCCACATGCAACTCATGGCCCCCAGGCGCAGTCTTGCCCTCCGGCACAGGCTTAAGGGTGCCAAAGAGCACGACAGTGCTCTCCGTGCTCAGCGTTAGAGCGTCATAGGTCTGACAAAGCTGGTCTGTCAGCACGCATTGCAGGAATCCCGTGCCATCGCGTAAAGTTATAAAGATAAGAGCCTTGCCCTGACGACGCAAGCGATGCACCCAGCCATAAATTTTAACGCGCTTGCCGCGGTTGTCGGCGCCCTGCAGAATGCGTACTTTGATGGCCACCGGCCAACTAGGATCCTCTGAAATCTTCACCTTGCGCGCCTCCTCCAAATTCTGCTGACGCTTCTCAGCATCTTCAGCCTCGCGTTGTTGTTTCTCGGCATTCTTATGACCTTCGCGTACAAATAGCTTTTGTATTTTCTTCAATTGAGACTTGGCAGCTGTCTCATATGCTTCCGCTGCATTCGGATCCTTGCTGTCCACATAGATGGTTGGAAAGGGTTCCTTGCCTGCATGACGCATAGCCTGCAAAATGGTCTTATAGGGCTTGGCCTCGCTGCCATCGCCAGTATCATCGCTGCCACGCTTTTCGGAAGTGAAAAGCGCACCTATATGTGTGTGTGAGTATGTTAGAAGAGAGTGGGGGACTTAGAAGTGTTTCAACAGCGACAACGTGGACAGTAAGTGTGGTCGCATATGTATTCCTTGTTTTATTTGCAGATAGTTGTACTTACTTAACGATAATTCCGAAAGCTGATCTGTAGGCATGTTGACCGAGTTATGATTAATCAATATTTACAAAACTAGGCGTGCAGTTTGCAATTTAAAGGCAAAATTGCATCAGTGTGTCGGCAAAAGCACCGAAAAAGTACTTCAAGTTACTCTATACTCAATATTTCAATCTTTGAAAAAGTATCGACTTCGCGTTGCCAACATAATCAAAACATCAGCTGTTTTTCGCGTTCAGGGCGATTTGTTGCATTTTACTTCTGTTGGATATTTTGTTCTGCATTCTGTTAAAAATGCCCGCTGAATCTGAGTGAGTTTTTAGTTATATGCTATTGCAAATAATATAATAAAATGCTTTATACCTGCAGCATTAAAATCATGCCTAAATCAGTGGTCTGCGAGGAAAGCACCTTAAATGGTGACATCACCATCTCATCGGGCTGTGTTGTGCATCCAAGCGCTACAATAATAGCTGAAGCTCCCATAGTTCTCGGCGAAAACTGCATTGTGGAGGAGTATGCCACCATAGCTCATCGGTTGAAAGATGGTGCTGCATCAGATGCCAGTAATACGCTTCACATTGGCGCAAACAATGTCTTTGAAGTCGGCTGCACAGTGGAAGCAGCACGCATCGGTGACAAAAATGTGTTCGAAAGCAAATGCTTTGTGGGCAGCGGTGTTACAGTTTCCAGCGGCTGTGTGGTGGGCGCAGGCATACAATTACGCACCGCTCAGGTGCTGCCCGAAAACACTATTGTCTATGGACGGCAAGCTCTACAGCGCGAGGCTATCGAGAAGCAGGGCTCACAGACCCTACAAATTGACTTTTTGCGCAAAGTACTGCCCAATTACCATCACCTGCGAAAGCCGAACTATGATCCGAAGAAAGCGCGTAGTGTAGTCTAGACTTAGGCTTATTTTTTATTAGCATACTATTTATTATGTACTCTCGGCATTCGCAGCATTAAATGTATTCATTTCCTTCTCAAACGTAACTATTGTGTGGTCGCAGAGCGCCTCCAGATCCTCCAGCCCACGCTTAAGTAAATCTATAGCTCGTTCCCGATTTGATTGAATGCGAAAGTGAAGTTTGTTCTCGGTGGGATGCGGTATTGTGTAGCCACAGAAGTCCACTTCTGGGTAACGCGCAACGATTGTCTTTAGCGCGTTTCCCAATGTATGGGTTTCATTTTCAAAGACAAATGTGCGTGAGCCCTCACCATTACTCTCATCGCCTGCAACCTGAATGACGGATATGATCACATTTGTTAATTTATTTGTCACATTTACTTACTTCTGCCAAGGCGCCCATTTGTTTATTTTTGTATGTGTTTACGGAAAAACGTGGTAGTGATACTAACTGCTAATAGGCATACTTTGATTTGAGTTGGCAGGACTGCAGAAGTCTTGGCGATGGGAAAGCACTCTTCTTTTCGTCAATCACGATAGTATCGATACTTGGCTCTGTCGCCGACTTGTGGTGTTCTGTTTGTTCTTGCGGTGATTGCGAATCGTCTTTTGTCTCTGTCAGTTTCGTTTGCGACGCGTGCTTTAAAACACGTTTGTTGCACGCCATTGCAGATTTATTTGGCAATTGTTATTAATTTGTAATTAGGAATTAAATAGGGCACTCACTAAGAAGCCGCTAAATAAGTTTCTGTAGTGTAATTCAACGCTTGCGACGATTGAAGAAAAAAGTGTCAAAACAGCATTTTGGCTAGCCCGCGAGTTTGTGTTTTGTGTCTGTGTATGTATGGATGTGTTTGAAACCAACAAAAAGTCTTATACAGCAGAAAAGGCGGCAAAAAAACCTACTTATATGCAAGGCAAAGCGGCACAGAAAAAAGTGCATCAGCAAACATAATTATTAAACGTGTAGTCGGCGCGTTTATCTAAAAAAAAGAGAAGAAGAAAAAACACCGACCATAACAACAATATAGCGACGACTGCGCTTCGCTTTGTGCGTCAATGGCGGCGGCGACAATACAAGAAAAACAACAACGACAGAAGCTGTCAGGAATAAAGCAAGAGCAACAATAAGCAGCAGCAGCAGTAACAACATCAACAAATAAAATACAGGTTTGTGCAAAACAGCAAAAAAATAAAAAATGTGCTTCATAATAAATATCGAAAAGCTTTATTGAATATTTGATGGAAAATGCAACCAAAAAGGTGTCATTTCATTTTGGCCATGACTGCCACGCCTCCGAACGACACGACCACAACGCCAATATGCCAAATTATGCAAATTCATTCGCCACATACACGCAGGCTATACAAAAATGTAAAATAAGCTGCGCAGTAACTGCGCTGCCAGCGTAAATGTACGCGAAGGCGGAAGCGTATATTGGCAGAGTTCGTCGCCTGTGGGGCGGCTGTGGTGTTCTTGTTTTCTGTGGTTTTTGTTATTATTGTTGTTGTTTATATCGATATGTATACAATTTAATAAATTTTCATTTCTTGTTTGCGCTCAGTCAGCACCATGATTCGTTGCTAAGCCCCGTTTTTTATACTCTTTATTTTTTTTTACATGGTTCTGTTAAAAAGCGTCGACGTAGCGGCGACGTCGGCGTCACACACATCTGTTGTTTGTTAACGCAGCCTGCCTGGGTGACTAATGCAAAAGCGTGTTCCGTTATCTCACTCGTTTCCCACGTCCCCGTACAAAAACCAGGCCCCCACACCCACGCTTAAAACGTGTGTTGTAATACCAGAGCTGCCTGTATATTTTTGTAAGTGAGCATATACGTATACATATATGTATATATGTATGTATGTATTTATGTACATGCTTCATTGTGTGTGCGCGCGTGTCTGTGTTTTTGGTGCTTGGTTTGGTTTCATGTTTCACTTAGCGCCATGTGTTCCCCCTAATTGCAGTTGCAATTTGGTCTAGGCTGCGTTGTGTCTCATTTCCATTTTATTCCCCCCATCATCATGCTTTGCGCCCTTTTTACATGCTGCATTGCATTCTGTGTCTGATGCCTGCCGGCGTTTATGTGTGTGTGTGTGTGAGCGAGGCAGCTGTCTGCCTGTATGTATAACATGATGCTGCTAAATTTGTTGCCATTGTTGTTGGCTTGCTAAATGTTGCGTTGTTAGGTATATTGTTGCTGAAATAGCTCTCTAGGGCTTGAATGCGTTTCTGTTCCTATTTGACAACAGCAACTAGAGATGTTATTGGGATATTGATATATGGGGTTAGAAACGATCGATTGTCCTAGAGCAAGAGTTAATCTTTATTACTAATCTAAGAAATCGATAATAATTGCAAGAACTTCTGAAATATATGAATGTATGTAGATATGTATGTATGTATATCTAAAATATAAATATTACTAACAAAAACGGTAATGAGAGGCACTTATGTACATATCTATGTGTTTCCATTTTGTAATTATTCCTGAAGATTGTGCTGACAGCTGATCTTTCAGCTCATGCATGCTAGACGTACCATGTAAATATGAAAACCACAACTACATTCATATACAGAATCTCCATTTCACCACCGGTTTATAGATATGAATGTAGATATGACAAGCATTTGTATATTTACAAAAAAATTACAGAGCTTATAAACAATTGCAAGCCAACAAATCGCTCGCATAAATTGATATGCGGCTATAAATTGGCATGACAACCTGTACCAAAAAATGCCTTCCTTGTTTTTATTCCTTTGCATGTCTGCTGCTCCCTTGTGTGTTGTTTTTTGGTGGTGCTGGTGCTGTTGGTTATGGCGTTGTTGCAACTTGAGTGTGTACGCTATGAATTCTGTAGGAATCTAGACGAAGAAAACTGAACACCGTATAATTTCGCACACATACTATGATATGATAAAACAGGATGGCCAGACAGGCAAAAACATTGGCTGCTGTGTCTGAGACTGTCAAGGGAAGCAACAACAGCATCAAAAACAACAACAACAACGACGGCCAAGCAAAATTCTACAGACAGACATTGGGAACTAAATAAAACACAAGCAGCGGGCGGACAAAGCAGCAAGCACAGACGACGACGTCGACGTGCCAACATCCTGTGTGCAGCACGAATAAATAAAAGGAAAAAGAGCAGTGTTTAGGTCGCGCAAGGTCGACACTTGCATACTCTGTGCCCGGCCCTGTCTCTGCCACAGTCCTTCACCTAAAATCGTTCCAATGACAGCTATATGATATAGCGCACCAATTTCTATGAATCTTCTGATTATAGTGGTGCACTTATCTTTGCATCAAATTTAGTTGTGAAAAGTTGTTGGTACCGAGATTACTTTTTGTACCAATCGTTCATATGGCTATATAGTTTAATCAAAACACCACTTATAAAAACTACAAAATATGGTGAAGATATATTAATAAACAATAAAGTTATTATAATAGGATTTATTTTTAAACTAATCTATGACAGCTATGCTACGAGCATGCCAAGTTTAGTGTCCGTAGTTCTTATGGTACATATTTTATACCATAAGCCTTCATACGGACAATACGGATTCGTCTCTTTGCGACTCTTAATATACCCATTCACCCTCGGGTATAGGGTATAACAAATAAAATAAAACCTGTCATCTGCCGTTCTCTGTTCTTGGTATACTCTCCCGCTTACGAGCGAGTTTCTGCTGCTCGATTCGATATGGCTTCGAGAAGATTGGCAGCAGGAGAAGAAGGTAGAGTGCAAAGTGAAGAGGACATTGAACGACCGACGTACATACATATGTACATACTTGTATATACATACATAGTTGTGAATCAAGATGTAGTTGTTCTTGTTGCTATTGCTGCTGCTATGTTGTGACTAGCCTGGATAGCAGGAGATGCAGACAGACGGCAGAGAGCATTTTTAGAATTCCCAAAATCAACATAAAAAGCAGATGGAGCAGCCATGCAACAACACCGCAAGGAAGTGTTTGCGCACACAAACACACACACGTAAACATAAATTGTAAATTGTGGCTGTGGCCACTCCAGCTACATGCATATATATGTATGCATGTATGTGTATGTTTGTGTGTGAATACGTGATCAATGCTGCCCCGGCAACAGCTAAAGTCGCATACATACATATGTCGTTCTTTTATGTTCGCTTCCTTTTTGCTTGTTTCCTTTCCATGGACGTGCTGCGTTGCCAACTACATTTTCATTTGCACCCGTTGTTGTTTTTGTTCTTGTTGTGGATTTGCGGCTTTCGTTTTTGTTGCTGCATCGTCGTCTGCTAATTTTCAGGGTTGCTGTGGCCAATGCACTGCAAATGTACGCTTGTATGTGTGTGTACGCATCCTTTGCAAAATAAGCAAAATGAAAATGAAAACGGGCAAAAATTGTAATTGTCGCCTGGCAGCTGGAACGACTGTTTCATTGCTCTTGGAATAGTTGGCAACGCCAATTGGTGGTGATAGCGATCCACCAAATGTAGTTGAGTCGTTCAACTTTTAAGGCCGAATTCTTACTAAAATAATTAGCAAGTCATCATTTAAAGAATTTTATAATTTGTTTGATCAATATTATAACCTAATTAGCGTAATAATCTGGGGTTTATCTAAGGTTTATAAACAACAGAAAATAATACAAGTAGTACAGGAAAATATATGTACATATATAAAAACATAAACAACGATCAACAATCAAAGCTCGAATAGAACAATAAGAGTTGTACACTTAAAAAAATTGATATTTATTTATACTTAGTTTCAATATAGCATGAATTTTAAATTTTATCAATGCGAGTGTATGTGTGAAGCATAAAGTTAAGTCAAAGCAGCAACAACAATAGCGGCTGACAGAGAATACATGTATGGCTTTAACTCTGTTTACAATTGATCCATCATATTAAACATAACAAGAGGACACATTATCACTGTCCTTGTGTTCATACAAACAGACATAGTTATATCGATTCGTCCTGTCAACATGATCAAGAATATCTACATACCTATAATAAAATCATACTCTTAATCATTTTGTTGCTACAGCTGATAGATGGAGCTAACGGTATTTGAAAAGATTCTGCTTTTATCAATAACAGGAGAAACTTGCGTATCAGAAGAACTGAGCGATAGTTTGTGTTTGCATTGAACAGAAAAATTAAACATTAATTTCGAAAATAGGCATATTTAATGCCTGAAAGAGTAGAGGTGATTGTGTAAATTTGTGTATGTGTGTGCTTTTATTGTTCATGGTGGTGCAGAAGGGTTTGTTTGCAAGCCATATACATGTATGTGCATGTGATAGCTACCCTCGATGCCAATGTCCTGTGCTTGCTCACCTATGTGTGTATGTATGAGTGTGTGTCGTGTTCGTGTGTAGTTCCATTTGTTCAATTTCATTTCAGTTTCGTTTCGCGTTGCTGTCGTTGCTTCCTACTTTTATTGTTAAACTTTTACAGCTGCCACTTTTTCAACTTGCATTTGCCTTCCTTGTCGCTGTTGCTGCTGCTTCTGTTGTTTTTGTTGTTGTTATTATTTTTGGCAAGGGTGGTTGAACGCGGCCATCACCGTAACCGTCACCGTCGACGCCGCCACCGCCGCTTAATTTCACAAAATAAAATTTATAACATTTGGTATGCCTTTCTTCCTTTGACTTTGATCCTGTTTGTGGTACAGCAGCAAGCGTTGCCTGCCTGGCCGCCGCCTCCCCAAAAATATACAGCATTAGGGAAACTGTATTGAAAATAAATAGTCATGTCAGCCATATTAATGCCTGGCAGAGGGTATGCTAGAAAAAAAGCTTACCGCGGGGGCGCTGAAGGATGCGGGATGCGAGAGAGGTGGCGGTGGCAGTGGCAGCGGCGGGGGTAGTTGTGGCAGCAATAACGGAAGGCGTTGCTAATCAACCCTCTGGGGCGCTGTACGGCCGACAGCCTCCCCCAAAAAGTAAAATCTTGCAAGTCAGCGCCAAATGGTGAGGTCAACAAACTTTCAAGCACAGCATCTTTAACTGTGTGTACATACATATGAATGTATGTTGTGTGTGTGTGTGCAAAAAAGCGCCGACGACCGACCGGTTCTTCATTTCAGTCCGTCGGCAAGTTAAATCCCAGCCCTGCCCAGCGAGCAACCACCCTCGAAATGGCTGCACGTACTACGCATT